AAATTAAATTGTTATAAAAAATTAATAAATAATGTAACTTTTTTAACATTAAATTCTTTAACTATCAGAAATTATATTGTTAAAGTTGTTAGTAACAATATTTATATTTAAAAAATTAAATTAAACATCTTTAATAATAATTAATTACGTTAAATATTAAAGGTAAATAATAATTTTATGTTATTATTTATAAGTAATTTAATTATAAAAGATATTAAAACTTAAGAAGATGTATAGGGTATTATAACCTAGGAAGATATATAAGATATTGTAATTTAAAAAAATATATAAGGTATTATAATTTAAGAAAATATATAAAATATTATAGCTTAAAAAGATATATAAGGTATTAAAATTTAAAAAAATATAATTATTAGTATAAATAATAACTTAATTTTTAAAATCTTTATAAAAGTGGTTAATTAATTAATTTATATAATTATTAAATATTATTTTAAGTAAATTTAAATTAATGTAAATGTAATTTTAACAAAAAGGGAAGGTTTAAATAAAAAATAAGTTATAATATTTGATATTATTTTTTACTATTTTAATTGTGTTAATACTTTTTAAACCGAAGTAAATAATATTATTGGTGAAGGTATGTTTTAATTTTTTTATTATTTTAGAAAGGAAAAGGGAACAAGGAAAAATATAGTTTTATACATTTTGATTAAAATTTTAAAGGTAAAGGGTTTTTGAGGACGGTTTTAAATAATGGTTATATTTGGATGTGTTGTTGCATAAGTCGATAATATTATTATATATTTAGCCATAAGGTTTTTTAAAGATGGTAGAAAGAAGATATCTGGTATTAAATCAATTATATGGAAAAATATAAATATCTTGATTATTAATAAATATTTAATAATATTGGGGTTTTTGTTTTATAAGATTTACAAATAATTGTAAGCAGTTTATAAACAATTAAATGTAGATTTTGGCGGTATATTTATAGTTATATTATATAATAATTTTTATTAATTTGGTTTTATAACCAATAATTTTTTATTATATTTAAACCAACTTTTTATATATAAATATTTAAAATAAACTGATAAAGTTTTTATATTAAAAAATAAGAAATAATATATAAGTTATAATCTTTAGCTTAAATTTACATTTATAATTATTTTAGATTAATAAATGAGAATTGTAGATCTTTAATTAGTTTTTTTTTTTTGTTGGTTAAAAGATAACGAATAAACGGTTAAAAATGTTAATTTATTAAATTTTAAACTGGTTTGTCCGGAAGATATTAAATTAAATAAAGATATAAAGGTTATTTATTCTTTAAATAAAATATAATATGTTATTAATTTCTAAGTAATGTTTATATTTGTAAAAGGTAAAAAGTAAAAGATTTAAATCTTTTTATTAAATTATAAAATTATTGGGATAAATATTAATATTAGTTTTAAAACAACATATGCAATTATAAACGATTTAAATTTTAAAGTACCGGCTTATTTAGCTTTTATTAAAAACATACCTATTAATATTATAAAAAATAATTACCAAAATTTAAAAATAGTAAATAATATATAATATATTATCAAAAGGTTTTTTCTTAATTTTAATAATATTATTTATTATATAAGTACCAATGTTTTTATAATTATAAGGGTTTTATAAGTTATTTTATTATCTTTATTAATAATATAAAATATTAATTTATTTAAACTTAACCCTAGTGTTTTACCCATTTTCAAAATAAAAATACTTATTTTTAAAAAAAACAAACAATTATTCAATAAAATTATATTTATTTTAATCCTTACCTTTACTATTACCGATTATAAATTGTAAGGTTTAACTTTATTAAATATTTTCTTAAACCTTATAAATTAAAAATTACCTAAAAAAGGTTTTAACTTTATAACTATTTATATTTAATTTTCTTATATAATAAACTTAAAGGGTTTATATATTTTATCTTTTATAAATTAAAAATATTAAATAAAGTTAAAATTACTGTTTTAACTACAAAATAATATTAATTAATTAATAACTTTAATTAAAGCAATTTTTAACTAATATTATAATACTTTAAAATAAATTTAAAAATATTTCTTTATTTAAAATAATAATTAAAATATATAATAAATAAACATTATTATATAATATAATAAAATTATAATAAGTAAATATAATAATAAAATCTTTATTTTACTTTTATTTTATTTCTTTCCTTAACTAATATTACTATTTATATTATTATTAATTTATATAATTATTTAAAAAAAGGTATAAAATTTACCTATTATTTTTATAATAAATATAATTAAATAATTATACATTTATAATCTTGGTAAAAATTTACTTTATTTAATATGTTTTTACTTATATGTTTTTATTTCCTAATAATTATATTGTAATAATTATTTTTTAATAATTATTTTTTAATAATTATATTTTAATAATTATTTTTTAATAATTTTATTTAATAAAAACGTATTATTATTAAAGTATATTTTATAATTACGTTTTTAAATTATTTTATTTTAACACTTATTTTATTTATTCTTTGACAAATATTAAATATAATAAATATTATCTTTTATTTATCTTGGTAATAACTAAAAATATTTACTATATTAATTTTTTTTTTTTTCTTTTAATTTTAATAAATTTATTATATTTTATTATTTATAATATTTAATCAATTACCATATTTATTTCACTTAAATTTAATATATTTGTTGATTTTTAATTAATATATATAAAAACAATTATTGTATCTTTTTTATTATTAATATCTAATAAATCCCTTAATAGTATCATTTTTAACCTTTTTACTTTATCTTTAAATAACTACTTTTTACCTAATATACCTTTTTAATTACCTATTTCTAAAATTTGGATAAATATTATAATTTAACTATTTTAAATATATTTATTTTAAATTTATTATTTTTTTATTTTTTTTATATTTTTATTTAATTATAAAAAATTAACGTTAATTATTTTATTATTTTATTATACTTTTAATCTTAAACTAATTTAAACTTTATAGTAAAAATAATTGTAAAAATAAGTTTTAAAATTGTTTTTATTTAAATAAAATATTAATTAAATTAAATATTATAATAATAAAAATCTTTAAAATAGTTAATAATTAATCCATTAATATTTTAAATTTAAAGTTGATAAAATAAGGTATAAGTTTAATTTAATTTGTTAAAAAATTCGAATTTTAACCCTACCTTTAACCTTATTACCAACCTAAAAATAACTAAAAATAACGCTATTATTTTCTTTTCTTTTATTTATTAATTGTTAACAATATTTAATATATGTTTTAACCAGCCGCATATTTTAAAAAATAAAGATTTGGTAGGTTTTTTAATTTATAATGTTATTTATAAAATTACTTACTTAAAAGAACTTATAAATTTAAATTTTATTAATATTAATATTAAAATAGTGTAATAGTTTAATAATATAATCCGTTAACATCTTGTTTTTATGTTTTGGGATAAGTTTAATTATAAAGTTATATTACAATATTTTTTTATTTCCTACTTGCCAATTATCTTAAAAATATATTCCAATATATAATATAATAAATTTATATTAGTTTATAATATAATTAAACGCTTTAATAATCGGGAATATTTTTTAAATTTTAAATTATAATTAATATTATAATTTATAATTAAAAATTATACCTATCCGTTATTTTAAACCTTTAACTATTTTATATTAAATAATAATATTATATATTTATTAAATGCCAAATAATTTAATAATGCTTGTTACGCAAACTTAATTATTTATTTATTAAGGTTTGTTAATAATAATGGTCATTATAAGATTATTATTTTTAATTTTTAAAACTAAAAATAATTATTTACTAATTTTTGGGTTATTTGCCAGGAAATGCAATTTAATTTAATTATTTAATAATTATAAAAATAATTTATTAAAAGTTATTTAATTTTAAATTATTATAACATCAAGCGTTTTTGGGATTAAAAAACCATATTTTAAATTATTAAATAAATAAATTTATAAACTTATAATTTAATCGTTTTAAAATTTATTTAATTATTTATAAGGTTAAAAAAAGGTAATTAAATTAATTAATAAATTGTAAATAAAAAATTGGCTAAATAATTAACTATTAACTTTTAAGGTTTTTGGTTTTACCGGGAATTAAATTATAATAAAAGTATTATTATATACTAGTTTTTTATTTTAATATTTATTTATAATTAATATTTATAATAATATTGGTAGTAAATAACGTTATTATTATTAAATAATCTAGCAGGATAATTATAGTATAATTTGTTAAACTTATTATTTTTAAAATTTATTTTTTTAAATTATTTATTTTAAAATTTTTAAAAAGGTATAAAAAACTAACCTATAAATATTAATTTCTTAATAATATTAAATTTGTTACTTGGAAATTTTTTTTAAAAATTATAGTTTAAAATTATTAATTTAACCAACTTATTTTTTTTTTTTAATAGTTTTAAAAAATGTTAATAAAAAATTAAGTTTAAAGGTTAAATAATAAGGTAGTGTTAAAGGTAGTATTAAAGGGATAAAAGAAGTTAAAGAAATAAATATATAAATTGGTAAATATTATATTTTTATATATTAATATTAAAAAAATTAAATGGTATTAATTTATTTAAAATTTATATATAATAATAATAAATAATAATATTTTTATATAAAAAAAAGGTTAAATATGTAAGATTTGAATTTAAAATTATAATTATTTTTTAATTTTTTTTTTATTTTTTTTATTAAAAATTTTATCTTTTTTATTAAAAATACGTATTGCTTAAAATATTTACATTAAAAATTAATTTAATGTTAGTTATATAGTTAAAATTTTAATTTTATATTTTGATTAATGAAAAGCCTAAGATTTAGATGTTAGTATAGTGCATAGATAAATTGCCTAATTAGGAAATATCATCTTGGCCAAACATAATATCCCTCCTAAAAGTCGGGCATAAAAGAGGAATATTGAAAGGTACCTAAGGTAATCTGTTATTATAACTGAATATATGGTTCGGATCCCAGATATTCTTTAAATCTGCTAGATGGGTTAACTTGTCTTTGCCATAAATCTGCTCTAACTTCTCATCACCATGAGCATGATTGATGAACACCGCGAGCTTTGGATACCCAGATGTAGCCACGAGATCACCCCGTAGCTCCAACCCGAGTGCAATCGAAGCGCTCCGTGTAACATTATCTCTGTCGTCAAACAGCATGTTGAAGTTTCTGTTACGTTGCAGATATATTAGCTAGGTATGAATTGACTTGCTGATAATAAAGATGAACACAAGATATAAAATAGGGAATAGAAGAGACATCCTTACATATATCCAGTCGAATCTCTCCATGGAAACGCCGTTTCGTCAGATGGTATGGCTGCCATGGCTTGATTGAGGAAAAACTCAAACTGTAAGACGCTGTTACGCCCTCCGGGATGATTGGAAAAGTAGTCGTCCATTTTAGCAAATCATGCATCATATTGTAGACGCGGAGTAGTTCTTCATATTCCAACTGTATAGGTCACGAGTTATGTTGGCTCGGCAGATGGAATCCATGATACCTCTGAATGCATTATCTATAAGTTTGTTCCATGGGTCAATAGCCATTCGGGTAACCTCAAGATCAAGGTTAAGAATTGGGGCCAGGGCTGCACGCGCTTTATCTTCATGTCCTTTATATGTCCATTGGGATTGTACTTGTGTCTAAGACTCAACATTACCTAGTAAAAGTAAAATAAATTCCGAATATCAATATCTTTGTAGATGTACTATATTTGTAGTGGTGTTAGAGTTGATCAACATAATAGAGGCTAATTCTGCGGGTAGGGGACTCATAGACTCTATAGTCCTGAAGTATTCGGAGCTCCTTTCCCTTGGAATGATATACTCGACGGTGAAAACATCGCCATCCTTGGTTAGTGGATGAAGTCTGTAAGTAGCGGATACGTATGATGATGCCGAAATTCGCGCCCGCTCCACGGATAGCCTAGAATAAATCAGGATTGGAATCTGTCACGAGGTGGAACTAAACAGTATGGTAACAACTTCGTTGTTCCGCGAGGAACTCTAACCTAGCTACGTGGATCTATGTCTATACATACTGAACATGTCCTTTGTTCTAGATGTCTCATCTAGAATCCTGACAGATACGGCTCATATAGGAGTTGGGTTAGATGCCAAGCAATGTTATTTTTCTTAGTGGCAATAAATCGGAAGTCCCAGGATTCCAGTGGCTTCCATCATCATTCATGGCTGCTCACGGCGTGGGGTTTGCAGGATCTCAGTTGTCCGCTGGTGCTTAGGACGCATTACTGACTCTCCGTGGCCTTAAAGCCACTTATTACGCTCTTAGGTTCGCAACGAGGAAAATGGAAGTTGGCACACCCTGGGGACTGAGCGATGCCAGGGGTGATCGAGTCTACCTGTATATGTGGGATGGTTCCTTGAGTGTTGCTTTACCTACTTAGTTAATTACGTGAGTAGCTAGCCTACTGAAATAACGAAAGACTACCTAGGGTACCTACCAGGTAGGTATGAAAACCAACGGCACAACAAACGCCGTAATACCTTATCAACACTGGCAATGTACATTCTAAGTCCTGCCAATTTTGAAAACCTCGTTCTCTCCTGGTTTGAAGATCAAAGAGTGTCCCTCCTTCATTTCCACAAGACCCTCCCAATGCCAGATGTCATCCTTTTGTCCCGTTCCTTGCGTAATCAAGATTGCCCGATTACACTCCATGGCAATACTAGTTCGGAAAAAGCCCTTCACTGGTGGTGATGCCCATTCTCCCCTGGGCACTTCTATCGGATCCCCCTTCAAAATCGGGCAGATGAGCGCAAAATGATCGACTTTCTCATGCTGTAGCCGCTTGACTTCGGGACCCGCTGATTCCCAGTTAATGGATTTCCAATTTTCGATTTGAGTCTTTGCCCACCACTTGCACACCAGAATCTTCTTATCCTTGTTGAAAGTAATAACCTCGCCTTTGATACCACCATACGCTGTGCGGACCCAAGAGCTGGCATTGGTTTTGCCGGGCCTCCAGGACCCTGGGCCATCATAGGGTTTGAACCGGGTCGCATTAGAGCTAATGAATGCAACGTCAACCTTCTTAGCATACATGTACGGATCATCATAATCGAATTGGTCAGCTCTGTCAATTGCTTCAATAGGACGAAGTAGACCCCAAATTGATTCAGAGTCACCAGGTCGACTAGCATGACGTCCGGATAGCAGTAATCCCGCTGCATCCACCGGCAGTGGAGTATCACTATACGGCAGAAGCTCAACTAATGTCGACCGAATCCATAGTGGAATATGGGGTTGATCGAAAACGTCGTCAAGTACCCTGCTTAGATGGAAGAGTTCATATGAACCATCCTCGCTCGTCCATTGGAGAAATGTTATCTTATTTTGCCGGCCCCTATTGGCTTCAAGGAGGGTCCACGCTCGCCGATGCCAAGGGGAGACGATCAGAGACAATAACGTTGTTTCGATATCCGAATCTAAGGTGGCAAGGCCTCTATCCCAGCAAAGCACAAGATGTGCCTGCATGAATGTCTGGTTGATTCTCATAATCATCTTCTTTCGTATCGTTGGATCTTCCGGAATTGTGGCACAGTCTATCCAATAACTAGTACAATCGTTCTCCCCGGCGATTTTAACAAGGTGGTCATGGACACACTTGTTTATCCCACGGTCTCTTGTACCCCATATGCCATCCCTCCAAACATGAGACACAACTAGTGTCTTGTCGCCGGCTTCTACCCACCATTTTTTTGGATTGGAGATGCTCACCGCAGGCATGCCACGGTTAGATATAGCTATGAAGTCGCCTTCGCTGTTTGGTGGAGGCTTTGACTTCCCGCACGATCTGGAGCAGCCCGGGATGTGATATTCTTCGTACATGGGAGCAGTATCGAATTGGCATTTATCCTCTATGCAAGCTTGATGACTGAAACGATTGTTAGGATCCTGAATATCCTCTGTGTACTTGAGCGCATCGATCAAGCGAATTGGTTGGACGAAAGGTTCGATTTCCTCTCGTATAAGAAACTTCAAAGCCTTTTGACATATTCGCCCTTTTCCTTTTCGGTTGGTCCAGTCTAACGCGAACTTGGCGGCCCTTCGGTAGTGAATATCATGGGCAATTGGTATATCGCCAACACGGATCCGCCGTTGGAACCCAGAACGGGCCTTGATAGCGCCTAGTAAACAAACACAGATATCCCAAACACGGTCCAATTTGAACCGTTCAGATTTTGACAATTTCACCGGGCCTGGGAGTCTGCTGGTCTTATCCCATGGTGTTCGAAGGAAATAAGTAAGGGAGTTGATGGCACGGACGCAATTTTCATAAGTATTAGAAATCTCCTCGTCTTTAAGACGAGGGAGGACGTTGTAGAAGTGCGCGATGGAAAGAACACAATTGAACGAATAGATCTCTTCAAAGTTCTGGACACCCTTCTGGACCGACCAATTGTCCATGATACCATGGTTCCGAGCCAGACGTTGAGCATTATCGGTTTCTTCGTCGGTAAGTTCCGACAGAGACAGGACGAAGTCCGCGATCTGTTTTGCTGTATAAATACCAGGATCGGTTCTGTCCATGGCGGTATCAAAGGGACTTTCAGTAGCGTGTGAAAGCTTTATTGAGGCCGCTACTATTTGATGGTCATGGCATTGGTGAACCTGTGGACGGGATATGGAACGTCGAATAAGAAAGGCTAAGGGGACAGCCAAGCAAACCAAAGTGAGACAAATAGAGCACAATGGGGAATATATCGAAAACATGTCTGCGTTGAAATAGTTTAGATTGGTAAACCTGTAGCTTACGTAGATATCTCAAAGGGTAATCTAAAGCTAGGGCAGACCATGATAATTATATTATTCTCATATCATAATATCATAGATTGATCAGTCAAGCATCCCTCCCCAACCACACCGACTTTTCCATAGTTTCATCACCTAGGTATCTAGGCATCTAATGGTATCATAAAGGGAAATTGGATATCAGAGAGAATGAAGTGACGCTGTGGGGGTGTACAAAGTCTTCATTGGGTTTGAGAAGTTCCCATAAAGATGATCCTCATCACTTGACCGGCGTCAAACTATCGTTGCATATCTCCGAGTTGCCATTTGCCCAATGGTATAATCCATAAGAAAAGCAAGATAAAAATGGCGTAATTATGCAGAAAAGCGCCACTGGAGATGCAAGCCGTATGGGTTAGTGCCGCACCGATTCTTTTTCAGGTTGGTAAACACACTGCCCTGCTGTATCTTGCATAATATCTAGATACCTTAGGCACTCTGAATAGCCTCGTGGTGGTCCTTCTTGCATATAAGGGCTCAGCCTGCCGACCAACTGTCTCCAATAGGATACTAAACGCTCATTCTAGCCGCTGGTATCGCCGTCTCCTGTAACCGGAAATAATTTGGCGCATATCCCTGTGTGATAGGATCCCTCACCGAGATAGATGTTTCTAGAGAGGCCTGTGGTAGAATGAGGCTCTCTACAACTCTCATTTATCTTGTCAGCAGCAGCTGGTAAGTTGGCTGGCACTAAAAAGGAAAGGAAAGGCGGGAGTGACAAGGGATCAGTCTATCATATTGCAGAATGCAGCACGAGTTTGACAAATCGGTTCTTTGCACGCTTTCAAGATAAAGTAGCAATGATGAGTATTTAATTATATAGTCACCATACCTAGTAATAATATAATAAAGAAAAGAAATGTTGAGGCTGTGCCGGCAAGAACCCGCGAAAACCGCATATCCGTCTAGCTAATCTGCTATGGTATTCTCCGTAGCCTACCTACGGTAGCACTCGCCAAGCAAGGGTGATGTTTAAGCGATTGCCGTCGAGCCTGGCATGCATTGCTTGATAACCATAACTGCTTTCCTAGCCGTTGCAACATCTCTTTCGACTTTCTTTTTGTCATGCTCGTTAAATCCCGCAGGATATTGCAGGGTTTTGCCTTCTGGTAGCATTAATGACTCCAGCCAAAAGTCACGGCGAGGATGGGGTACCAAGATATCATCCATCCAATTGTTGATCTTTGTTCCGCTCAGTAACTGAATTGCCCCAATAATACCATGTCGGCCTGAGAATTCAAACCTCCCAGCCTCCGCTTCAGCGTGCTCTCGCTCCATCCAATTACTTGCTAGAGCCTTGCGGTTGAAGAGCCAAGTAAGACCATAATGGGCGATCAATAGAAATATTAGACACACACCATCCCATCCTTTCTGAGCTGCAACGAAAGTCATAGCCATAAGTTGGCAGATATGAGCACATCGAAACCACGTAGCGGCTATGTAAGCCCCCCTTCCTTCTGGGAGCATGATCATCGGCTTGTTTAGCAGAGTATCAACAATCCCTCGGTCGCCTGTGTATAGATGCCATTCCATAGCGTTTTCGTGCGCGGCCACAAGCATAAAAGCATCATGTGTTTCGTTGTTTTCCAGGTATCCTAGCGGCCGTCTAATTGCAATTGAATGGATATAGACCTCGCATACTACGCGAATGAATACCACCGCAGCAGTCCCGAACGCGCCAGAAAGAACGAAGAAGACCGCCAATGCGAGCAGACCAATAAACAAAAGGGCTCGAAACAGTCTGAGTTCTCCTAATTGGTTGAGCACATGTCTAAAAGGGGACCGTCTTTGCCTTCGTTTATCCACTCTTCTAAAGTTGTATATGTTTAAAATCTGTGGTCGATACGTATCCTCGCGTCGTTTTTGGACCTGAGTGCTCCGAGATGACGCCGCAGGCAAATTGCTTGGAGTGATCCATGCATGTATGTTCATAATTGGTAGCCGTCGTTTTTTCAATAAAAATGAGATAATGGAAGCACTCGCAGCGCCATTGGCCACTGGGAACGTGCTACCCCAATTTACATCCCAGGCCTTTTGGCCAAGCCCCCCTTTCGTACTTGCATAATCCAAATATTCGGGATCCCGTTCAAGAAAACGGGCAATGTTGGAGAAGGTCCCCAAAGCGGGGAATAAGCTAGCTGGGAGCCTCCCGAGTAAAGAAATATTGCCAGTTGTGATATAATCGTCTTGGTAACTGGCCAGATGAATGGCCAGGGGTATTAGAGCTGCCCATTCGGTTACGATAGTTGGCAAGTATGGGAGGCTAATGAGTCCAAGGGAAACACCTATTGACCCAAAACTCTCGTTATTTGATGCCATTGAGGGAAATTTCTCGCTGAAGGTCTTTGCTGCTTTGACTTTGATTCAGTATATCGAGGAGGATTAGCATTTTCATTCTCCTTTCTCGCCCCTTTTACCTGTTTTATAATTTACGACTTAGGTACCTAACTACTACTAGATAGATGCTCAAGGCACACTCAGCCAGCCACTTTCTGCCTCAGGCAAAATCGAGATACATTCGGTGAGCGTCCGGAATCGCCGCTCTCCATTAACTGGTAATTACATATCCCCCGCCTCCGCTCTAGATTTTAAGCCACCTGAACGCGTGCAATAAGCAACATTGAACGTAATAACTACTCAGCTCTTGATCATGGCTGCTCCACCAATATGCAAATTACCCCTGGAGGGTATCCTTACTACCAAATGCTTTGATATCACACAATACGCAATCCCATGTCGATACCGACTCCTTAGCTGCGCTGCCTTCGTCAAAAATAAAGAACTGGAAATACTTGAATTTACTGATTTCCCCACTGTCAAATATACAGCTGTATCCTACGTCTGGAAGGGAAACATCCCCAATGCGAACTTCCATGACCAGACTTTCAATGTACCAGTTCCAGATGAAAAGGACGGGTCACCAGGGAATCCGGGAGATCCGATAGGGGTCGACGTGCTGAATCAAGTTTGTGTGGCATCTATGGCCCGAGGAGTACATTATCTCTGGCTGGATCGCCTCTGTATCATGCAAATGAACGACGAGGATAAAAAGTGGCAGATTAGACAGATGCATGCCATATATCTCCATTGTGAAATATGCATCGTCGTCCCTGGAGGCATACAGTGCCTTGTACGTCTTGACGAGGAGACACAATGGATTCATCGGGGCTGGACCCTACAAGAAGCGGTGGCGCCTTCAAATGTCCTCATCCTGTTTTCTTGGAGATTTGGCTCGTGTAAAGCTTATGCGGGCGATGCGGAGGGAGACATCGATGAAATCACAGCGGCTACGTCGGCCGTGGCGTCTCTATCGTTCATTGTTGATTCTAGCACTATCGGCAGCATTGGTGTCAATTTTGGTGATCACCGTGAATTAGTCAGAGTCAAACTACTCAGTTCCCACCCCTCGGACCAAGTCTACAACAGAGAGGATCACAGGATAATGTCTCCTAATGTCGGCGCCCTCGCTCGCATCATGTCGAAGGACTTGAACGATGATGAAAGACACCATTCGATCTGGCAGAGTGCACTGATGCGAACTTCTTCTCGACCGGTCGACATGGTCTTCAGTATTATGGGGCTTTTCGGCATTACGCTAGATACTTCGCGATTCGAGAAAGAGGATCGAGCCAAAGCTACGATCGAACTTGCGCGGGAGGTTATGGCCAAAGGAGGTCGAGCAACTTGGCTTGCTGCAGCTTTCCGTATACAGCCGTCGCGGCAGATATCTACATTTCCTTTATTTCCTCGCACTTCTGTTTCTGGGAAGTCATACGTAAAAGTAGAAGGGGGAGTGCAGGAGATTTCATTATTGATGGAGAACGAGTATCCCATCGCGCAGGCACTTGTTCCAATGCCCAAAGGTTGTATGGACGAGAAAGGGTACCTGACGTTCTCTTCAAAGGCCATACCTATACGACCTCGCTCAATGGACCCCCAAAGAATGTCTCTTGATCCCCGAAACCCAGCGTATTTCCAAGATGTTAACGACTCGTGGTGGGAGACTCAAGAGGATTCAGTTCGCATGGAAAAGAAGACCTTTGCAGTACTTATAGGCTATTTCGTTGGCTATTACCCTGGAGGTACACCTGCTACGGATTCAAAAAATGTCCGCGCCGCAATCATCGAGGAGCACGCACAAGATAGATTCCATGTGCGAACATACTTAGCCCTGAGTAAAGAAACGAAGGCTTGGGTTAAAACGTGGCAAGAGCAGACGTTTATAGTCGGTGGACCGTTACCGGATGACATCGAAGACGCTGGACAGGGTCTTCCTGTGGTTAACAATCCGAGGATACAACGTTTGAACGACACGCAAGGTGCAAGCTGTAGTATTACGCCTTCTTTAAAAGGCATCGCTTACCGTCGTGCTCGATGGGCTAGTCCACAGTTGCAATTTGAAGATAGGCACTTGTACGTTGCAAGGGGGAACTAGGTCTGGTCAATTGCTTCAGTTAGTTAGGTACCTACCTAGGGTATACACCTCCGTTAGTATGGTAAATCAAGCATCCTAGGCGATTTTGAAAGACTCAATAGAGAAAGGCTTGCTCCAACAATTACTACAAACCAATTTTTGGAATTCAGAATCCATAATCAATACCTTAATTACAGCCGAAGGTGGGGTGCGAGAGCAACTTGGATAATCCTACAGCAGACCATATCGACGGAGGGCGAATCGCTTACCGTCTCACTTGACTGAAAATGTGGCGGCGGCTGATTTGTTGCAGACCCGTTGCCTCTTACAGTTCCTTTTTCTTTCCCTTCTTTCTTGGTCGTGATCCAAGGTACTGCTGGGCCAGGGCTGTGCATAGCTGCATGCAATTGCCGTTCCTTTAGGTACTTATTCCATAACGTATACTTCATATCGCGCAGCTATGTACCCCGCTATTTACCCTGGGTTATAGGTAGCCCTCTATCATGGATATTTATCTGGTACGAATCTGTGAGCTGCCTGGGGGCTCGCTCTACGTTGATCGCAAATCCCATGCAACAACCGACGATGAGTACATCGCGATCTCCCATGTCTGGGGAACTCCAGAAACCATTCAAAAGTCCACAGTAGATGGCATCCCATGTGAGCTCGTCTAACTCTGAGGTACCTAAAGGCTAATGCTATAATATCCTAACTGGGTCTTCGGACAGGGGATGTATATTTAAGTCCCGGAAAGCAAGATATCCTGTCACTCCTTCGGCGCGATGATGTTTGCGGCAACAGTTGGTTTTGGATGGATCTCTTCTGCCTTGACCAATCCGAGTTATCCTCCGTCAAAATCGCCGACCAGCTAATGGCAATACCCTCTATATACAAGTGTAGCCGGTGTGTGAAGGTCTTGATAGAAAGTTCTGTATGCATGGAGTGGCAGGAGGTCGCTTTTAGAGCCTTTGAACGAGGACCTATTGATGAAGAGAGTTTTCAAGAAGAGGAATTAGCCCACGGAAGGTCATGTCCACATTTCCTCTTTGCTGATCCTTGGTTCGATAGGCTTTGGACACGACAGGAAGGCCTGTATGCGTGTGTGTTAGATTTCATCGTCCTCAATCCAGTGCCATGTAAGCGTCATAATCGAGACCTAACCAGTGCATGGATAGCACATGGAACTCTCTTGACATATCGCTTCAGAGCGGAAACCTTTCTTCTGGACAAGCTCGCGTACCATGGGCTGCAGCCTTCGAGGGCTGAGGGATCACTCTTTTCCCTCTATTTCGACGTCGTCTACAGACATCATGTCAATGTTACGTTGGCCTATGACTGCGAGCCAGGACCCGATCCAAAGTACAATCCTATCATGGAAGCATGGAGGAGTCAGCGATGCACGACCAAAACACGCGACTACATTCTTGCGGTATTCCCAGACATAGATGGGTACAATCTTCCGGTTGGGGCTCGTAAAATGAGCTTCTCCGAACTTCTGCTCAACGCCATTCGCCAGCCTGCAGTCCGCGCGAATTTCCAAATCGCGCCAAAGATTCCGCGAGGGATGGTGTCGCCCTCTGACAAGGACATAGAGAACATCTTACCATGGCTCACGGATATCCCCCTTAATATTGGTCAGGCATACGATACGTTCGCCGCGTATAGGAGAACCTCGAAGTCCGAGATTCGTAACTCGGTCATTCCTGGTAATATCGCATTGGAGGATATTGACATCAGTAGATCCGGATTGGACATACTCAAGGATGACTGGCAACGCACTACGGACATTTTCCGGCACGTGGCGCTTGTGTCTCCTTCTGGTCCTTGCACTGGGACGACGCGACAGGAAGTTACCAGTAACGATACCGGCCTCCTACGGCAGCATCTCGCGCAAGAATTCATGCCTATCGCCGTGTCGCAATATCTACGCCAGGAAGAGATGCATGCATTGGAGCTTCGGACCAAAGGAGTTCTTACTTTTGATAGAATAAGAGACATTCCCGAGGAAGCCTATGGGCGCGAATTGAAACGCTTCCTTGTTTGTTTGATATGCGGTACATCATTACCCACCGCGGACGAAGTATTGGAGAAAGCGGATGTTGTACGCGTATCGACGCCTTACGGGCCTCTATTAGGTATAATCCACAGGGAAACAAGGTGGACAATCGAGAAGAGCCGGTTAATGCTCGTGTGCGGCCAAACGTGGGATCTCCAGGGTTTCTATATCGGCGTACGAGTCGATGGTAAGATGTCGGCCAGAGGGCGGACCATCATCCCAAATAGTAGTGTTTGGGATTCTATTGAAAAAGCTCTGAAAACATAATTACCTTAGGTACCTATCAAAGGCGAACACCTTGCAGGTGAGCTGGTGAGCTTCATATAGCACAAAATTATTAATAACTATGTCCTCAAGTGCGAGGGAGACACGGTATATTATCCACTTACATCTGATTTGTTGAGACTTTTGCACCATTCTTAAAGTGACAAGTTTTGAGTCTTTTCAAAGTCTTAATTTGTTAATATAAGTGGAATATGTACCTGTGTCTCCCTCGCACTTGAGGACATAATATCATGGAATGCCATGTCCTTGAATGTGAGGATTCTTTAATAAATATAAACTTGTCGTTCAGATGGTTGAATGGTGGGATCATTAACAAAAACAACCGGAGAGCCCGAAGTCAAACCTTACAAGCCAGGACTCAAATATGTGGCGGTTTCCAATGCTTTGTCAGACGGGATAGAGAATCCTTTTCAAAATACATTACCAGGGTGTCAGCTATCGAGATTATATTCTTTACTCCGGGATCTAGATCACTTGACAAGTGGCTGGACATTGATAAATAGGGGGCATGTAGAAAGGCTTGTTAGAAGATTAACCAAAACGTCATGTCCCTTCTGGATTGATGTGTTCCAGTGGAAGAACAGCATAAGCGCCAGCGATCTCAAGCTATCACCACGATGAAAGAAACGCACGAAAATGCGTATCAAGTTTTGGTATTTGATGCTAAGCTTGAAGCAATACCCGTAAATTAGATCCACGAAGCCATGATGCGAATCTCTCTTTCCGGCTGGATGCGCCGGCTCTGGACGCTACAGGAAGGCGTACTGGCTAGTCGGCTGCATGTTAAGTTAAAATACAGTATATTGGAAGTCGCGTCGGCTGAGCGCGCACTCAATAATCCATCGGGTAACTCGGGGCTTTCTAGGGAGATCAAATCGACCTACGGTACAGTGCCAAACAGTGCTGCTCAATTCTACATTTACATGCGTTCGATAAGAAGCATGGTCGTGGACACATACGAACCAAGATTAATTGGTATTCGAAAAGTAAGGACTTGTGATGACGAGGCTGGGGTTAAGGAAACCAGAGAAGGCTTTGCCGTTGTGGAGGAATTTGTGGCTACCTGTCATTACCGAACGACAGGTACCTAAGCCGCCGATCGGACGAGTACATCTGCCTTTCTAGTCTCCTAGGTTGGGATACATCTAACTGCTCGTCGACGCCTTTTGATCAAAGAATGAAGGCTCTTTTATCCAGGCAGAATAAACTACCACAAGGACATCTGTTCGCTCCGGGACCTCGTATGAAGGAGACAGGATGGGGTTGGGCAGAACGGACTGGTTGTTGAGTATCCCAGCCTAATTTTACCTCCCGGGTACAGGCAGACAACATCCAAATGAGTTCTTCCTACGTTGATAGAGAACCTGGAAGAAGGAGGACCTACATGGTTTGAGCTGATGCCTGTGGAACCTGAACAGCCTGGCTCTCCTAGTAATGGTGATGAGTGTCACTACGTATTATACTATACGGAGAATGGAGCAACTAGGGTAGGTTCTTTGGTGGCTACAGCTATCGTTGCCCTTCCAAGTGAGCAACGGACGTCTATTTTCGGGCCAGCTGTCCAGGTATGCTGTACTTTCGTGGGCCTTTGTTAACTTCGCGCGCTAGGCGTCGATTCGGAGCAGCCAGTTATACGTTTTGTGGCGCTTATAGCGCCGACAGGCGTAAGCAGGCGCAGCCCGCCGGTTCAACGAATTGATTTAAGGTCACCTGAGATAATGTTTCATGTAAACACAACTCCTATAGAAAAAAGGTTCGACATAATAAACCCTTCGTAAATTTAAGACATTTAACTTCCGGTATACTTTACGTACATATGTTGTAATATTCTTACGGTTCTATGCGTGAGGCACGTTTCTTGTTAAGTACCTATTCTCCACTTCTCCTTCTCATCCGGGCGTAGCTCACCAGTGAAGAACTCATTCAGCATATTTCGACCAATTCCAGGATACTTCTCTTCAACAGCGTACAATGTCTCCATCACCTTCGTCTCGCCAATTACTTCCACAAATTGAAGAGGAATCCCAAAGTTGCTCGGACGTCGGGCTGCACTTGCAGCAAAGGTATTTTGAACAATGCCTATAAGACCGACAGCAAGGAGGAACCACGTATTCTCTGTCAGTCCTGTTGCCGTGATGAGGAGTAGGATCCAGAGCACACTGAGTATGGACAGGGCTACGCAGGTAAAGGGAGTGGCGTTGGCTGTAACATTGTCTTGCCCGGAAGCAAGGTCCTCCAAGTTAAGGCCATGTCGATTCCCAAGGATAATAAGAGCGTGCTGGGTTCCATTGCCCCGAGTCAAGATATAGGGATCCTTGGACTTTTCACGACATGCCCATTTCTCCCTTTTCCATTGCGGGAGCAGGCTAGTTGCTATAGCAAGACAGACCCCAGCCGCGGTGATAACGAGAACGCCCCAATCGCCATATAAACCGAGAGGTATGACTGCGACGCCGAGTTGCAATAAAATTGAACCAACACCACTCCAGTAAACTATGTCATTCTTAACCGTTTTTGCTTCGTTTGTCTCATCAGGCTCGTAAATTGAGACGACAAGGCCTGAAATACTAGGCTTCGCCGGCAACCGTGCTTCTTCCATCTTCTTGGCAAGTACCTCGTTTGTCTTTTCCGCTATCTTTGGATGCATCCAAAATTCATAGTCCCGAATGATCCTGCCTAGAATCCAACTGGTGTTTTCTCTGCTATAACCGTTCTTTGCGTTAATGACCTTGCATTTACAATCCGGGTTGGGAGGCATCAGCTTGTTCTCGCCCATGGCGGAGAGAAGCGCCGAGACTGAGTAGGATACCCAGCCTACAGTAGAAATGATGCTGTTAGTCTGTATAACAATAATTCATACCTAGATGGCGGGACGAACCGAAAGAGAACGTGACAGGTGCGAACCCCGACCCGGTCAACTGTGCGAGTGCTCGACCAATCACGTCGCCGCCGAGAATGAGTAGAACACTGAAAGCATCGCTAGGTTTGGACCATTGCCCGCGTAATGCGTCCGAGGTGTAGGACATATCAAAATCAGGGTTACGCGAAAGAAGACGTAGTGCGAGAGGAGCCATTTCGATTAAAGAGTAGGCAGATGATGTGTTGAAGCCACATTGAAGTCCTTTCCACAGTTCGAGGGAAGCTCTTGTTTTATCATTGCATCAGCGTGGCTTGTCCACCGTACCCCTACATGTCTCCTAAGCGCTTCAGGTCCTACATGTATGTGTAAATAAGCTGCAAAGCCCCCTATTCTCGTTATGTATGTAACTAACTACTTTATCAATGGTGTTCATTGTTTATTATCTCCTTATGAATGTTTTAGGTAGACCATTTAGGGCACATTTTTGACTGCATAAGCTGATTTTACTAGCGGTCATCTTAAGTGCTGCACCCGAACATTGATGCAGTTCTTAGTCGAAAATTATGCATAATAGGACTTTTCTAACCTTCCACGTGTTCAAAAGATTCGGCCGGTTTTCACGTGGGAGGGCAGCACGCAATATTACTGGCTTCAATACGATTGACGTTGGCTGAATCGGCCATGCGTTATGAAAGCTACACGTAGTAAGCAAGATAAGCGCAAGGCGCCGGCAAGCCTCGTGAGATATACCCAAATACACTTTCGTATGAGATTTAATGAAGCCCCTCTAGCAGTTGCAGCCTACCTATGTAGTTGACCTGGGCCCATCACTTTGGCTAGACGCGCGCAGCAGTGTCGGGGTAAACCATGTGCTGTCAAATTGAGGTAGTCTACGGATGATGGGGGTGGGACGATTGCCGGGTTGCGGTAAACACCTATATGTAGGGCTGTGTGGAGGTGGTGTAAGATTAGGTAATTGACTCGCGCTAACGATGTACCTAAAGTTCTAGGTACTGATGATACATAATGTGATGGTTAGAATGATGTTGTATTGTAAAAGATTCTTGTACTTTACTTTTAACTGGTGGAAATTTTATATAGGTACCTCTAATTTGAACAGTTCTGAAACGATGTTTTTGATTCGCACCCGATCAGGCGAGAAGCATGAAACTTTCTAGCCCTCTGAAAAGATTCGATTCTGCCATTGGATCAAACAACTCGCTAGAGATTGTTTTTTTTTTCTCAAAAAAAGTGTAGAAACCACCTAACTTCTGAAGGTTAAGTGATACACCACATTTGTTCCCTTCCTGTGGATGCTCCGTGTAGGTATCCTGCCCCATGATAATCGCTTGAAAACCCGCCGGCGGGCAATAATTTAACCTGTGCGTGGCCAACAATTGTCACGTAGAAGCATACCTCATGTTTAATGACTGATTCTATGCTTACAATCACAACATCAGAGCATATATCGGTTTTGAAAATCAACGCGCAACGTCGCAGAGGGCCGACCGACTGTGGAGAGCTATCTGATAACGCGAGTGATAGCGAATACGATTTCTCGTCTGTTGTATCGAGGACCGTGGACTGGCGAAGAATACAAACGGGCTCCGAGTCATCGAACAAGAATCCAGGGTGTTGAATGTGAAGCCCGTCATCCTCACATAGTCCATGTAGCGGTAGAGGCGGATCCATGAATCGCATTGCTGAAAGGGCGTTCGTGATCTCCATAGGCTGCTCCAACAACAGCAGTGACCTGGGAGCCCACCGGTAAGGCGGAATTGCGAGGTTCTTGGCTAAGAAGTCTGGGGTCCCAAATTCTGAAAAGAGAATTGCGGTCGGAACCTCGTGCAACAATTTATAGAACTCCGCCATGCGATTGTCCACATCTTTCGCGTTCAAGGTTGACTCAAGGTCAAGTCCTAAAAGTGATGCTAAACAGATGGGCTCGTCTTCAGCTTTACTCGTACACCGATTCTGCACAGCGTGCACGGCTTTCTGGAATTTCGTGTCGAAGCGGGGATTCCTGATTGCACCCACCGACGGGATACGGTCTTCCATAGCCGTCATGAGATGCATCTCATACAAAAGGTCAGCCTTCGTGTCCTTAATCGAGACTGCTGTGGCAGATGGCTTCGGAGATGGAGGCACTTCAAGGTAGGGCTTATACTGAACGCACCGAGCCAGCCGATTCCAATATGCAGGACCGTCTGCCATCTGGAAATACAGCACACTAGCTCCTTGAGGACCATCTGCGAGCGAGGCTTCTTGGAGCGTCCATAGCCGCTTAAGCCACCCGCTGCATAATACTCGGATGCCAAGCTCGAGGGCAGGTGCCTTTCTAGACTCGAAATGACAGAGTTCTCTATCAAGCACAAGCACAGCCATCGCTTCGGTGTATGCCCGTGCTAGTAGTCTGATTGCCTGTTTCCGATACTGTCTCAGCTTCGGAGATACCGGGATGCAGAGCATATGGCTACCTTAAAGTTACTCTCATCGAGATTGAAGGCACCGCGAAGGGCAATTGCCAAGTTATATAGACGGCGAATTTGACAGCGCGGGAGTGCATTGTGGAAAGGATTGCCCAGGCCGTCAGCCCCTAAGGCGCTTATTAAGAAGCTGTAAAATAAATACGATATCGAGGTTCAATACTCACAGACATGGCTAAAAGCAATATAGTTAATACCTCTCCCATCGCTAACTGAAAGCTGCAGGTCACCCGAGATGCTTATGACTGGGACCATATTCCTCGCAAGAACATCTTTCAATAAATCCGGCTGGATATCGATAAATTCACAATCGCACTCGTCTTCCACGTGGAGTGTCCTATAGGACTGTTCATCAACCTGGTATGCCATGCAGGTCGAATAACTACACTTGTCATGACGCTTAGGTGCATATGGGCGGGCTACATAATAAGCAACGGCGACGACATCAAAATTTTGTAGGATATTGTGCACCTCACTCTGACACCATCCATTCCCCAACAGGTGCTTCGCTGCGTAATTCATCATGCTGATCTGACCTTCGGGTTTCCAGTCCCTTACGGGATCCGCGATAGAGATATCAAAGTCATCTTGAAACGGCTCGTGGAACTGGCACAGCAGGGCAAGGGAAAGGACACGCAAGAGGATTGTAATGGAGTAAAGTACCTCGCACTGCTCTAAGGTGTAGTCGTATTCGTCTTCCCAGTCAGAGCCCCGGGTTATCATCAATTGGCCCAGCCTAATGACAGCGTGTAGCTTCTTTCGCAGGGCTTTGCTGCCCCCACAGCCCGACCTCTGCGAGGCGTGATATAGCCGCAGGGGAAGGCCGTTTAGTCGGGCTGTATCAAAAGTATCGGTAAGGTAGTCCTGGGGGTCAATCGGAAGGCCGCAAGCAGTATGAGCTTCCGCCAATGCGCCGAAAAAAAAGCCATGACTGCAGAAATGCGACTTTTTCGACGCACGTGGCATCAACACCCGTCGCTTTGGAAATCCCAGGCGATTGTAGACCGTAAGGGACGGACTGGTCGCTATCCTTTATACAGCGTCCAGGCGGACAGTAGCCTCTATGGCAATAGTGATCATCGCGGTGCACAACCCAACCATGGCGAGCTGGGTAATCCGAAAATCCGGAGAAATCGTACGCTATCCCAAGCCGAGGCACTGCGAAAGGAATGAATTCTGGGGCGAGCATCTTCAAACGAACATACGTGATTTTGCATAATTTGGGTAGATCTAACTTGTACGTATATCCCAGCTATACTTTCACGATGAAGATGTTTCTATAAATCATTGAATAATCATAGATGGCTTTTGAGAATGAGAGCATCTCATCAACCCATTCTAACATGTAACACAATGCGGAGTAACGGTCTTTGTCACTGTGCATTCTGAAATTTCATACCTTCGGTAATCTACAAGCCTTAAACCTCAAACCATGATAACCGTATAAGACTGGACACCGATAGTTTAGGATATACAATCTGATTTCACTTGAAATTTCCAAGCAGACGCATCGAATAGACTTAAATGCGCTTTTGTAGCTCTTATATTACTTGAGCTAGAAGGGTTGGAACTTGACGACCCCTCACTAAAACGCCATCGTATTTCATCTGACATTTAGCAGACATATCTCAACGCGAATAGCTACTTTGAGAAAGGCATTTACAAATAGTTATCAATATCCTCGGGAAGCTCTTGGAAGGAGCTTTGGAATGAATTTAGCTACAATTGTGACGTTCAATTCAATTATTTGCAAGACCGCGATGAAAAGGGAGAACGGCTGGGTGGTGCCTGTACGTTGATTAATCATATAACGCGGTGCTTTTATTTCTGTATAATTTCCACTCGGAATCATGTACCTTATAAATCCAAGGGAGATTCGCATTTATCATGCGACTAGTCACGATGCTGACTTGCACATCGTCGGTTAGATCACCTAAGGGAACACTACAGAGACTTCCACTTGGAGGACTTGCCCCGCAAAAAACGAGATAATAGTTGTCTTGTCACTCGTAAGGTCTATTGCTGGTGGTGGTGTACTGAGTGTCTTTAGCGAGTATGTGGTAGCTGGATATGTCCACATTGCTTTAAACTGTCTGACATTCTTAATTAATGTACCAATTTCAAAGACGAGTGAAAGTTTCGCACAATACCTAAAGTGCTTCCACCGGAAGCGTTTCCAACCTTGTGTCCAGCCTCTTCATTCTGCTGCCACGGATTATCCTGCTAGCTTCGCTTTACTTCTACGCCTGGATAGACCTAGGGTCGCTCTCATTTAAGATTGGCAGAGTAAGTCTTATAACGCCTAAGATTATGTTGATCAAACAAAAAGCCATCTTAACTCCCTAATACTTTATGGTTAGCTAAATGGAGTAGTTGCTATAAGGTTCGTAAGAAAAGGAGGGAGACGTCAACTGTGAAGAAACCTTTACCATACGCCACATTGTCACCATATACACAGTAGACCTTAGTGAAGATGGGGGCAAGGGCGCGGCGTATGATAGTCAACGATTCTGTACATTCTGTGTTGCAATTATTTATGAGAGATGGGATCTTACAGGTATGCTCCTGGACCATAGGGCTGGCTCATCGGAAGACGACAAGTAACGCTTGGCCCAACCTGACCAGTTACCAACGGCATGCTTCATCCTCCTCTTCCAATCGCACTTCTAGCCAAGCGATCAAGAAGTTCACATGCAAGGGAAAGGGCATCGCGATACTCCTAGTTCTGTAAAGTTGAATTACCGGTGGAAGTCAATGGTTCGTCGGGCAGTCCGGATTTTCTATTCTATTTAAGCACAAGTGTAGGCGGCACAGTTATATTATAAATTTCAGTTATTAATATCTTCTCTAAAAGGCCTCGAGTAAAGTACCATTGCTAATACACTTGCTTCTCTATGTCTACCTGTCATACTAATACTATAGCACTAATGGCTGCGATTTCTCGCCGTATATTCTGCGGTGTGGCACACCAGGCCTTCGTGGCCAGTTCCCCCTTGCCTATTAATGATGCTCTACTCGTGGAATATGAAGAAGCCAGTGTCAATAGTTTGACACGAAGCAATGCATATATATAAACACTGCATTAGCAAGTTCTACGCTATGATGATGCGATATAATATGCTATCCAGCCTTGAGAGGAGGATTAAAGGAAGAGGGAAGATCTCTCTAGCATATGTTCGCTCGTCTATTTCGATTATTGCAAAGATTGCTCTTGAATTTCAAGTAAAGGGGATTGATTGACAAGATGAGAATTGCATGAATACGATGGAACTTCAATAGAATTTTTATATAGTACAAGCATCCGAGTTAAGTTAAAGTTTATTTATCACTTGTAAAAAAATACCTCATAGTCATCATCATCTTTAAGCAAAAGAAGAAGGGAAAAGAAAAAAGTATGCGGTGAGTGCGGATCGAACGCACGGCCTTCAGATGTTTGAATGAAGTGGACTTCAGTCTGACGCTCTCCCAGCTGAGCTATCCCCGCTTGATTGCCGGCCTGGGTTTAAAGGTTATATTTAAAGGTTCGGGCTAAGAGTCATGCACATCTAATCTTAACATACCAGGTAGCAATGGAGTAATCTAGACGATAAATAAGTCTGCTAAACAGCTCTAACGCTCTTGCTTGTGAGATATTGAAACATCTTTAGTAAACATGGCCTTAAGTTGAAGGTCGGGGTCATTTCTAATCGTTTAAACTTTAGTCTAACAACTTGAAGTCTTAAGTGAAATTATAGTACTTCTTTGCTGCCAGTATTGAAGCGCAGTTGAATGTTGGTAGCTGTGAATGCGAAATAGTGGTATGATGGTAATATGCTTACCTAGGTCCTCAGGAACGAAAAAAAGAAAAAGAAAACAAATCAGACTGAAATGTGTACCTATCTAGGGTACTTATTTTCTTCATCAGGGCTTAATTTATCATTGAGAAGGATTCGTAAAGGTTAGAATATTCCTTCGTTGGTTTTAAAAGCTTTTAAACATTCAAGATTCCCTTATAAATAAATTCTACGAACCTGGATAGTAGTTTGTTCAATGCCTTGTATTTCTATAATATTCTCTTTAACCTTCAAGTTAGGCCTTGAGGGATGAGAAGGGGTTAGAATTCATTTATGACACGATAGTGCATGGATAATGATTGATATACAAGAACTGTCATTGAAAAACACTTTAAAATTTGGGACACGCAGCAGATCAAAGGGGAATTCACCATGTACCCATTTGACCTTGAGATCCGAGACTCGGTACCTAGCGTATAGCTTTTCTAGCTTCCATGGTGGATTTGCTAGATTGTAGTCATGACTTTTTCAGACGAGGCGGTTAAGAGTCGAATTGAGGAATAGTACACTTTTCCAAAGGCGGATCTCGAGAGCGATACCTGTCCTGCTCGTTCTTGTTCTTTCAATAACCAATGAACCTGATGATATAATTCCTACCGAGTGGGATTAAAATAATTATTGTTAATAAAGACTTACACTCATTGCGCAGGTTTGCTAGATGCTGCAAACACGAAACTTCTGATATTTTAAAATTCACGCTTTTTCATTGGCTAACCCTATCATACCGCTCGGCAGTATTCTCACCACATCTATACTATCACACACCAAAAAATATGTAGACCAAAAGAGGATAGAAACAAGGGTATTTTGACGTAAGACTTGATGATTTAATTGATCGAAATATCGCAGGGACGAGGTGCTAAACAGATAACTACGAGAAAATAGAGTTTCCGTAGGTTACTTGATTACATACAGCTGATTACCTAATCTGACACCACCAATAATAACATTGTGGGATATTTTAAGTATTGTTAGCCCTATTGCACTACGCAATTACGAATTGTATAAATGAGAACTGCAAGAATGATGAGTACCTATATAAATATAATAGTTAAGCTAGAAATCATCCAATCACCAGCGAAAGCAGGAATAGCTCAGAAAGGTGAAAAGTAGGCGGGGATAGCTCAGCTGGGAGAGCGTCAGACTGAAGTTCACTTCATTCTTAAATCTGAAGGCCGTGCGTTCGATCCGCACTCACCGCATATTCTACCATTGTCTATTCAATCTTTAAAGATTGGATGTTTTTTTTTTGGATTTTAAATCCAGACTTCAGTTCTTACTATCTGGTGGTATGTTCGATCTGTGCTTGCCTTAATCTTGTGAAATTTTTGTACTTTTTGTACTTTTAAGCTTAAAGAAAAAGAGTTTGACTTAAACTTTCTTCAAAAGTTAACCGAGAAGCACCGTGCAGTGTATTTCATGTGCCTTTAGTAAGTACGTACCTCAGGTACAATTGAAGTCATGCAGTGTCCAGTTTTTCCACTACGCAGTTAAGCAGCATAAGCAAATAGACAAACGATCCAATCAGAATTCTCCAGTTCATAATGTTCAGGTTTACCATCGTTCGTAGTGGCTCACCTGTGATTCAGCCACAAATCACCCCTCATTGCCGACCCTATGTGTAATTTTTGATACCCCACCGACTTTGAAATACATAACTCGTAACTTTCTACCAGGCGCATTTTGTCGCAATATTTTGTCGCACCATACAAATTCAACGTCGCCCTTTTTTCCTTATATCGTCGGCCTCACGATATTAGGTGGTACTTAACCTATTCTTCCTTCTACCTCATATCCTTTTGCAAGGAGCTGGTCGTCATATTCCCCCACTATGGCTTCCAAGCTTACCCGGTACGTAACCATGCGACTTGATGGAAATTCGTCCCCTGCTTTGTACCACCATATATATATGCTAACCATTTGGTCTTAGTATCGCCATCGTGAACGATGACAAGGTGCGTTTGATAATACTTACCCTTTCGCTTTATAGTGTTGGAATCAAGCTAATATATAATATCTCGCAGTGTAAGCCCAAGGTAAATCGACTTGAGACCCGAGCATTAAGATCTTATGATGATGCTTACATTCTATAGAAATGTCGACAGGAATGCAAGAGGTCCTGCCCGGTATATATTCCCTTTTCTTTTTTTACTCCTCATTGAGTCGATAACTTATTGTATACTTGGCAGGTCGTTCGTAGTGGAAAGCTTTGCATCGAAGTTAGCCCGGACTCGAAGATAGCCTTCATCTCCGAAAGTCTTTGCATTGGATGTGGTATCTGCCCCAAGAAATGCCCCTTCGATGCCATCACCATCATCAACCTACCCACCAACCTCGAAACCCAAGTTACCCATCGATACTCCGCGAACAGCTTCAAGCTCCATCGACTGCCAACGCCGCGACCTGGTCAGGTTCTAGGTCTCGTCGGAACCAACGGTATCGGAAAGAGCACAGCGTTGAAAATTCTCAGTGGCAAGCTTAAGCCTAACCTAGGGAGATACGAGAACCCGCCGGACTGGGAAGATGTCATCAAGTACTTCAGAGGATCCGAGTTACAAAGTTAGTCGGCATTTGCCATTTCACTAGTAAACATGTTAATCTTTGAATTTTAACTAACACGTAATCCAGACTATTTCACCAAGGTCCTTGAAGATGACCTAAAGGCCGTTGTCAAACCCCAGTACGTTGACCAGCTCCCGAGAGCTGTCAAGACACCCGACAAGAGTGTCAAGTTCCTCCTCGAGCACAGATCCGCAATGGGCAATATGGACCAGGTTCTTGACACCTTAGAACTTCGTCACATCCTGGACCGCGATGTTAACCACCTTTCTGGTGGAGAATTGCAACGATTCGCCATTGGGACAGTCTGTGTCCAGAAGGCTGATGTATACATGTTTGACGAGCCATCTTCTTACCTCGATGTCAAGCAGCGTCTTTCTGCAGCGCGAATGATCCGTTCTTTGCTCGGCCCGGATAACTATGTTATTGTTGTCGAACACGATCTGTCAGTCCTTGACTACCTTTCCGACTATATTTGTGTTCTCTATGGTAAACCCGCTGTATATGGTGTGGTTACTCTACCTCACTCGGTCCGTGAAGGCATCAACATTTTCCTTGACGGTCATATTCCTACCGAGAACTTGCGGTTCCGAGAAGAATCTTTGACGTTCCGTATCTCAGAGGGTACTGATGACTTTCAAGCCGATAAGGCTCGCGCCTTCAGCTACCCCAAAATGGAGAAGGCTCTCGGAAACTTCAAGCTCAACATTGACGGCGGTGACTTTACTGATTCGGAGATTATCGTCATGATGGGTGAAAACGGTACAGGGAAAACGACCTTCTGTAGGCTTCTGGCTGGTGCTCTTAAGCCCGACAATGCCGAGAAGGTTCCCGAGATGAGAATCAGCATGAAGCCCCAAACTATTACTCCTAAATTCGAGGGTACCGTCCGACAGCTATTTTTCAAGCGAATCAAGCAGGCGTTTCTCTCCCCGCAGTTCCAGACTGATGTTGTCAAGCCTCTCAAATTGGATGATTTCATCGATCAAGAAGTCAAGAACCTATCCGGTGGTGAACTGCAGCGTGTAGCCATCGTCATGGCACTCGGATTGCCAGCCGACATCTACTTGATTGACGAGCCGTCGGCCTACTTGGACTCCGAGCAGCGTATCATTGCAGCACGCGTGATCAAGCGTTTTATTATGCACGCTAAGAAGACGGCTTTCATCGTAGAGCACGATTTCATCATGGCTACATACTTGGCGGATCGTGTTATTGTGTTTGACGGAAAGCCGGGTCTCGATGCCCATGCTAACGCGCCCGAGTCGCTGCTCACTGGATGCAACGCTTTCTTGAAGAACCTAGATGTCACCTTCCGTCGTGATCCGACAAACTACAGGCCTCGTATCAACAAGCTGAACAGTCAGCTGGACCAGGAACAGAAACTGGCTGGAAACTACGTAAGTTAAATTTACCCCTAATGTTTCATCGAGGCTCATCACTAACGTGATCCACAGTTCTTCTTGGAAGAAGACAGCTCTTGAAACGGGCGTCCCACGTGATAATGGCTACCATCAAGGCCGCAAGCATCATCAAAATACCCCATCAGCATCGGATACCGGCGTTCTAGGCGTACAAAAAGGGGGGTCAACGCGCCGAGAGAGCGGGAGCGCGCATGAGTTATCCGACATGGATGCGGATGGTGGGGAGGAATGCGATGATCCGGACGAACATCGAGTGCGGCGACAGTCTACCCTCGTTCGTCTGGTCCTGAAAATATTGGGTTCTAGAGGCGCCTCTTGTTGCTTGATAAGGCGAGACTGCGTTCTAACCACGACTTATCATGCTGCATAGGTTTATTAGGGCGTTACTAGATCCGTTAGTTGCAGAGTGAGGGACGAATAGGTTAAATGGATGACTGTCGTCACATCTACCAATGGCATATATATATAATAACATGTGTCGTTGGGGCTTTGAGATCATCGTTGTTATTAAGGATAGAGATAGGAGACTCAGCCCGCAGGGAAGAGGCGAGGAAAGAAATACACGGCTTGCTCATCAGAATGTACCTCCGTGTATTTTAGTGAACCAGACTTTTTTATTTATGCCGTGATAAACTCTCTAGGTTAGAGTGATTAATGCTTCAATTACCTCATAGGCACTCCCTCCAAGATATTACAAACGTGTAGGTTGTATGTAGTAAGTAGTCCTTGCATGTAGAACACCCGACTGGTTCGTATTATAACGGATAATAATTATTTTCCAGTTGTTTAAACCGTCGAGAAAGTTTCATTTCACACACCAAAAGGAAAGGAAAAACATGCGAATAAGCAATGTAGATAAAATCAGGGTTATTACACTATCTACTAAAGTCCGATTTTCTCTATTAGGGCAAAGGAGGGAAAGGATACACACCGAGATCATATTCCAAAGAGCTTTTTTTTTAAATCCAGCCTCGGGCCGGGCCGGGCCGGGCCAGACCTATTACCACCGTGTTCTCCCCCGTATTAAGTCCTGCAGAAGCGTGAGAAACCTCTGGATGCGTAAAAACGAAACGACCAAGTCGGCGTTATAAATGAACGTACAGGGAAAATGTGCGAGTTTTCTTGTAGCCTTATTCAACGGCGGGATACTGTGGGAGGGCGAGTATACGATGGCGAGTTTCCGAGCTGCATCCGGGTGTCCCAAATCATCTAAGCTCCACAAAGAACGTAGTCGGAAATTGACACGTACTTTTCAGTTTATTGGTGAGCCTTGATGGCCAAGACTAGGGCTGAGCAGCCCATGTCTTGCTTGGAGACGCCTAAGTATGGCAAATGCTGCGGTTATGTAGTGGACTTTGGCCGTCTAATCTCGGCCTAAGGCTATCGTTGGAGCTTGGAGGGCATGGATCAATTAGGGGGTAAGGGGTAATATCAAAGATATATTGTATAGATCAATCAAAAGGCTAGTCTTCTTCGATTTCACCCTCTTCGCTACCGGAGTGCACGCCAGTGTCGTCTTTGGTAGGCGGCTGAACTGCTGGCGGTGTCCTAGTTTTAGGACGAGCTTCACGATGGGGGGAACGCTCACGGGGTGTTCTCTCTCTTCTCAGTCTCTGTATTTGCGTTAGTGGCCCGTGATTAGTGATAGGGGTAGTTGAATCATACCTTGGAGTCTCTAGAGTCGTGACGATCGAGGTCATCATCCTCCGCTCGGCGGCGTCGAGATGAGGTTGGACGTTCATCTCCATAAGGCAGTTCTTCGACGGGGCCTCTCTCAACGCGACGCCGATACTGCCGCTCTCGTTCTTCCTCCCTGTCTCGTCTTTCCCTGTCATAATGGCTCGGCGGATCATCACGTCGAGACCGAGGTGGGTAGTCCCTCTCCCGGTCTCGGTCCCTATCTCGATCCCGTTCACGTTCACGTTCACGTTCACGCTCGCGGTCGCGGTCACGGTCGCGTTCACGATCTCGATCACGGTCCCGGACATCGCGGTCTCGATAAGAATCCGACGGCCGACGGTCAGATAACAAACTCTCAGCCATGCTGGACTTACGATAATTCTTCTCGCGCTCAGCAATAGCTTTGCGGCGGTCTGCTTCATATGCATCTGGCTCCGGGCTGCGGCTATGGCGTGGCGGTCGTGCGCGGTCACTACGGTGAGAACGATCTCCCCTATCTCTATCTCGGTACGTACCACGATCAATAGAGCGTTCACGGCGTTTATGACGATCCCTGTCTTCATCTTCCCGATCACGGACTCGGCGAAGGACCTTCTCAAATGCGCCACGGCGGGCATCTTCGGATTTGACTGCTTGGAATTCGGCTGCACGGGCAAGACGTGGTCGAACCTTTTCCCAAGTATCGTCTGCAGTAATTGGTGGGTCTACATGCTTAATATAAGACCGGAGGTCATCGATAGCCCTCCTCTGCTGCCTTTCAGAGTGTTTATCCTCATCAGACCGTTTAGACTTCTTTTCCTGAAGCTATTAAATAGGTCAATAATAAAGCTTCTAACAAGTTATGACGTCTTGAACATACCCGTTCGAATATCAGCATTATTATATCGCCATCAATGTTAGCAGTACGTCGATCATTTTTCAATACAGATGAAAACTCTTCGAAAGTAGTCTTGGGGGTGAACTCAAAACGGTTGTCCTGGGTTCAACGTCAGCTAACTAATACCGTCTAAGTAGGGTAACGAAATACAACTTACGTCCATAACATCGAGCACGTCGTTCCGTGTTGTGCGGAGGGCTCGTTCCTCTTCCTCGACGATATCCCAGAACAGGTCAAGAGGGCTTGATCCAGCCTGGCCGCAAATCGACTTGAATCGTTCATCATTCTCGATCAGAGGATATATTTGACTCCATTTAGTTCCAGCCTTAATCTTACCAGCTCTACGGAGTTCCTGAAGTAAGTCTGTGAACGCGTCTCGTCGCTTCCGCTCGACACGGAGCTTTTTGTTCCTCTGGTTCTGTCGAGTCTCATTAAAGCTCCGTTCCAAGGACTTGATATGATTTTGAAAGGCAGTCAGGATATCAAAGTTGGTAAGAGTTTTATACTTCTCATCATTCTGGAAAGGAGCAGTTGCTTTGAGGATATTCTGGGCCTCGGACCAGCGCGTGTAGGGCTCCAGGTTGAGCTTGGGGAGAAGATCAATGAGACCATCCATTGCACTCTTCCTGATGCTGGCCTGGTTCTCCACGTAGGCCTTCTTCAGCTCTGCTATGTAATCCTCAAACAACTGACGTCGCTCGTCTTCATCATTAGTTGACCGGAAGATTGTTTCGCGCTCGATGATGGGACGGGCAGTTTTCCAACGTGTATAATGCTTAATCTCAGGGTGGCTCTTAAGCATAGTAGCAAAATCAGCACGAAGTTTTGTCAGCCTATCCTTTGCGCGTTCCTTGTCTTGAATAACCATATCTTGACAGTACTTCTCGAAGGCAGCTTTTCTATCCTTAGGATCCTTAATGGATCGGTACTGAGGATCCTTGATCGTGGCCCGCATAGTCTGTTCCCAGGTCCAATCGGGCTGCACACCACTCCGACGTAGCAATTTCATGAAAGCAGCCTCAGCTTCTTCAGGGGTCGCATATTCGGGTTCGTTGCTCGCGGGAACAAATGCCTGGACACGCAAGTCACTACCATGGGTCAACTGACGAGACTCGGGGAAACTCTCTCGGTGATCGCGATAGTGATCGTAGTTGGAGTTGGAAAATGAATTATTGGAAGCATGTGGTGTAGCCGGCCTGCCTAAGTTAGAACAAAGTATAGAGGGCATTCGATAAGATGCTTACGCGGGTGTCGAAGGTGTAGCGTCATGGCCTAATGCTTTTCTGTAAACCTCGGGCATCTCCCAAGAACTTTGCTTCGTTTCGGTATTATACCAATACTTGCGCCCACCTTCGGCGGTGTATTCCTTCCATGGCTGGTTCGCCAAAGCGCGCTATGAACAGGGTCAGTATGCTGAAGCGACATAGACATATAGACGCGCAAAACAAACCTCGGCAGGTGACATCAATTCTTCTGGTTTTGTCCATTGTGTCGCTTTAGTGATTGAATTATAGTAATAAACGCGTCCATCAGGGCTTTTGTATTCTTGCCAAGGGTTTGGCTGGCCATAATGGCCGTTGGCTCCGTTCATCATGGCTAAACTTTGCGAGCGCTTTGTATTTCCCTATTATCAAGACGCCCAGTGAAATACTTTCTCCCTTTAAAGGGAAAATGCAATCGATGAAAACCAAGAAATTAGAAAATAGAAAACGCGGTCGGCGACGAATCTCGGTTGGTTGACAGAGACGAATATCTCTGAGCCAACGGAATGAGGGATGTGAAAGTTCAGAAAGCTGCGAATTTTCAGCACCAGAGGTCGGAGTTTGGAAGGTACGTACCTTAGATTACCGACATGTACGTACCTAATGTACCTGTTACCTCTAAAAGCTTAAGACGGAAAGGCGCATACCCGAAAGTGCCCCGTACAAGCACATGGGCCAATTAAACATGTTGCATTCGTTGTGAAGCTTCAATAACTAACACAAATTATTTTAGGTACGTATTCACATCTCCCAACTCCATCCTACACGATAGACATATCTGATTTCGAAATGCGTCAACTTCCTGCCAACAGCCCTGAGCGTATTTAACAATGATTAGAGACCCTAGCAACATAATCCTTTAATTAATATAACATCACTTAGAAAATGTCCACCCCTTCGGTTAACATAACTCCCGCCTCGACTTTCGACCTTGTTGACGATTCAACCCTCACGTACTTCATACCCCTTGCAACGAAATTCAATGTTGAGGAAGCTTTTAAAAACGATGTGGATAAATCCGAAGAACCGTTTAGCTCGGTAGAACGGCGAGAGTCTCTTTTCTTCGGTATGTCGTTCTATATCTCTTCCAAGAGGTCCATTTTCTCACCATGCTCATTGTTAGACCCCAGATGAATCCGTCGACATTTACTTCGTCCTTACAAACCCCCATGTCGAAGAAGATGTCTTACGATCCTCCCTTCGAAATGTAATTCTCTCTCTCGAGGCGCAAATCGTCAATGGGACCGCACTAGACCGCGACGGCCATCCAGCCTCCGAAGTCATTTTCACAGGGCCAGTAGAGAAGCAAAAGGATCCAACTGTATTGTTCAGGCTCTCGGAAGAACATGACACCCATTCCGAAGATGGTCTTCAGCAGTATTCCGTGGCCGTATGGAAGCAATCGGTATTTCTCAGTCGGCCTAGGATGCGACTTCAAAGCCCTTCTGTTATTTTCAATGCGACAGCGAACTTCCACATCGGAAACCAATCCTTGGCCGATGAGCCTCGCGATGGATATCTACCAAGTGGCATGGCATGGGGTCTCAATCTGCTCGAAGCTTTCGGAAACGATCCTGCTATGAACGGGATCAAGCCCCATCTATCAGCACTCCGAGTATCTCGTGTTGCGCCAGTCACACAGCAAGCCAAGGGCCAGCTACGGCCTATCAAGTCTTCGTCTAAGCTTTCCATGCGCATCTACCCAGCGGCGCATTCGCGCATGCGTTTTACCCATCTTAATACCACCCCTTCTACAGCAACTGTCCTCGCGATGCTAGAGCTTGACTTTACACCCTTCTTTGAGTGCGAGATAATGCTTGACAGCATATCAATTACAGTCGCAGAGGGTATAGTTGAAGATCTCGCAAGCCAGTCTGGAATGCCGCTCCCTATATCTTGCGTAGCTCACGACCATGTCACGTTTCTATATCGTATTTCACCGGCTGAAGCTAATCTAGTATCAAAAAATCCGATACGGGATCTTAGCATTGCTATCTCTGCGAAGGCTCTAGTTCGTCCAGATGTATCTGAACCACGATTAAGCATGGCGTGGACTACTACGGTTGATTTCACAGTCCCCGTAAATCCAGGATACGGTTCTACCATGCAACCGATCCAACGCATGCATCGGCCAAGTCAACTCTCGATCGGGGGTGAGAGTACCATGTCTTTAACAGCACCGTCCGTTGCCCGACCAGACGCACTACCTTTCCTTGAAGCCGCGACGACACGAGAGACCACTGTGCCTGATATAGGCATTGCTATGACTTTCACTGGCCCGCCCCCAAGTCATCAGATCTTCCCCGGCGATGAATTTGTCTGGAATGTATTCGTCGTTAACCGATCGCCCGCGCCGTCGGCAGCACCAAGAAAGCTAGCAATAGTGGTGATTCCAAAACGAAGGCGTAACGAATCTCGAGTTAATCGACCGCCCTCGATTTCTCGGCTGCCTGAAGTCTCGTATAGCCTATCTCAACAGCTAAAGACACCAAGGGATCGAAGCGTGGCAGATGCTGTTCTTGACGAGAACGTAGTCCATGCCATGCAACATAGTAGTATTATTGAAGGCACGGAGGTAGTTTGCTTGAGCGCAGATGTGAGGGTTGGACCGCTCGCACCCGGAGCATGTCACATTGCTGAGCTTAGGTTTTTGGCCTTGAAAGAAGGCATCGTAAGTGTTGAAGCTGTGAGAGTTATTGACCTCACGAATAATGAGCATGTAGATATCAGGGATTTACCCACCGTTATTGTTCAAAGTAGATAGACGCGAGCCGATATCCATAATTAACCTACCATACTAGCCTTCAATCCAAACTTCATAATAAGTGTCCCGAGATGCAGAACCCGTCCAAACAATCATATTAGCTCTGTTTCCGAAGGCGTTAACTGGCTTTACGTATACCACGCAAAATACACATCATCTTGTGTATACTAGCATACACGGGGGACACTAGGTAGCTAGGTACCTAGGTTTGATTGTTAAATTTGCTCGGTAATAATTAAGGCTTCTTCAACATAGGCAATCTCGTATGTCTACGACCAAGAAGCTTTTCTCTCTCTCTCTCGAAACTCGACGGGAACTATCTTTAGCTAAGCGAAGTCAATAAGTCTTATACCGACCTATGTCCCCCACGGACGAAGCGTACGTAAAGCGCGGAAGACTTCAATTCCTTGGCATGGAGTAGGTAATGTACCCTAGGCGCCTGCGGCGCTTGCTGTTTTGAATCAACTCACCTTGAGGGTGACGAAGGGAAATATATCTGGTTCTTAGGTTTTAGAATGTATTGCCGAAGCTAGTACTGCTGGATCTGTGCTTGACGACGTATATTGACCCGAGTTTATCTATCACACGGCGGAAAAACATACACGTCATGGGTGTCAGTGGAAATACGCCTTATTGATGTCTCAATTTTACCGTGAAAGGAAGTTATGTTAAGCTACATTTAGTAGGTGACAAATACGTGGAGTACTAATATCGGGACTAGGAGCACCGGGGAGGGGAGAGGGGAGATGGGATCTCGATTCTTTGCCCCCGGAAAGAAACCCGGTGGCCGGGGGGTAAAGAGAAATACGCCGCGCCGAATGGCAGCCCATTGGGGCCCTGTCCTGGACACAACTAGGTAGGCAGGTCGCGGTTGGTTGTGCAGGCATAACGTCTTGGGAGCGTCCAAGCGTTCCTAGGCATGTAACATCGCCTCGTGACAATGCCGGCCACAGGCTTCGGGGGCCCTGATCCGCATATTAAGGTGGAAGGATGCCGTCTCCTAGCGTCGGCCGTATCTAAGCAATTTTTCTTCTTCCTCTTCTGTTGTTTTCGCTCGAACGGTCTCGAACACGTCCGTGGGACAATATAGTCAGGGGATATGTTCCCCTCGGTCATTCTAGCTGTCAGGTACCTGACATAGTAGGCATATCATCGGCTTTGGTACGCTTAATATCGGTTGATTGGTATGTAATCACATGGAAGATGCTGTGGCTAACAAGGTCCATGATACTCAAGAGTATAGCTAGCATGATTTCTATTTAACTCGGTTGAACGAATTGGCTACCCAAATCAACTGCACCGGCAAGTGAAGTCATTCATAGGTACCGAGCCAATTAGCTAATTCTTCAGTGACGTCGGGACCGAGCATCAGAGCGCATTGGCCGGCGAGGTATAACTCCTACAGTCCAATCCCAGGGTAATCACGTTCAATATGAAAAGCGAATGCTGTTAAGAATTAGACATGAAAGTAGTATTTTTACACTCTCACATTTCAAACAGAGCCCATTGATACATCTATATAACACCCAACCTCAACCGTGAAGGGGGCAGTTTTTAAAGACAGATGTTGTAATCTTCAGAATGAAGCTCAAGAGTCTTCGCGATAGTAATATTCGACACCAAAGTGCAAAACTCGCTCGCGCATTCGGCAGTTGGCAAGCCGCCATAGTTATAATCTGGGGATGGCGAACTAGATGGTTTTTAAAAATCTGAAACTAAACAGCATATTCGGAGATTTACCGTCGCTAAAGCATGCAGACCACTCGCTACCCATTTAGACAGTAGCCATCTCCTTTTTCGTTGTATTTCTCATTCCACGATGTCACCATCGACTTCTCTTGTGGTATACGATCTAATTTCCAAGAGTAGACTTAGAAAACACCTAAGTATCCTAGCTAACCCCGGCGGACCGGATCGTCTTCCGAATTCGTTTGAGACTGGGGGTTAAGAGTGTAAATACCTAGTATGTGACGGATGGCTAAAGGGTCCTTGGATGATGTATTTGCGTTCCCAGCAAGAGATTTCACTGGCAGAGTTAAGCATACACGTTCGATCGAATGTCGACGCCTTTACAGGGTCTCCATGGGGTGGGGTCGTTCCCCGAAGTGTAAGAATACGGCGCAGATTCAAATCGGGCTGCTATGATCCGAGCAGGCATTGTGAGACACATGTTAGCGATGTCGTCAGGAACAGGTAAAGCCTAGTAGATGAGACACTTGACAGCTCGAATTCCGGAGTCCAGCAGGACGGATACGTAGGTGACATGTAAATGAACTCAACATATCGACTGCTACGATCCGTACAGACACGCGTAGATAATGAGAAATAAAGATATTTCTGCATGCCATAACGCCCCACGCGTCCTATTGCTGTTAGTCGGTGACTTCGCGTAGTTTCGAGCAATTCAGGCTGTCGATCACCACGCCAAGGGGATTGGAACTCGGTAGAGAATAATAAGCGTAAATTGTGGACAAACTCTTCAACCGATATGGACATCATCACCGTGCCTTGCATTCGCAGCAACACTCGCTATTGTCATTGTTGCAAGTGTCAACGGAAGCGGAGAGGTAAAAAGAAAAAGAAAGGGAAAAGACGATACTGTCTATATAGGCGATGTCGATTACTACATATATTAGATACGATGGTGTTCATCGGTTAACCCCAAACCCCCTAACCCGTGTTATCAATACGGGCATATCAGTTACTTACCAATTGTTTAAATAGAGTTGCCAAATTCGAATTCTGAACGTAGGGGCGTGGCACAGCGGTTTGTGTCTTTGCGCGAGTCCGTTCCACGTCTCACACATAAGGCTACCAAAGGTAAACATATTTACAACAGCGTCTCACGACACTTCAAATGAGTGTTGGTATGCATTAGGTAACTTTGCGGCTTGTTAAATGCCAAGTTGGCAGGTGTAGCAGGTAGAGAAAGTTGGCATATGTATGGAAGCTCGTGGCGCATATGCATACTACATAAGAGTTCGCATGTAGTACGTTACATTTAACTCATTCCCTATACATAGTAGTCGAATTGTTTCTGTTGTTTCATTGGCCACAAAGAACCAGCTAGTCAATGGTCCCTCCAAGGGACTATTGTACAAGGGACCCCAGCTCACAACATGAACCAGGGCTACTAAGTCTACATAGAATCCTCAAGTGCGCACAAGCCGGGGAAGAAGATGGTGTTATGCCCCGGATTCGAGGTGTTACGCCAAGTAGTATATAATAACACCCGGTTTCATTAATCTAATGCCCTATAGCTATCAACGAGAAAGAGTCAAGTTGGCTACTACTGGTATGTATATAGGAAATATCCTCGCTCAAGAGGGTATAAGAAGACTCGGATAGGAAACCATAAATGGTATGTATTTGAGATGTAGCGCCACTTATATCGCTGTACGTCGTAAATAATATTTAATCGATATACGTTTGTAGAAAAGAGCGACTCGGCCAAGATACTAGGGGCCTCATCCAAGCGAACGCAAAATTATAAACCCATGGCTCGCCATCGCCTAGATCATCCTAGGGTACTAAGTTTCCCTTCGTAGTCTAGCGTACGGTCCTACTCGGAGCGTCCCAGGTAGGCTGTAGCTGATATACCGCGTTACAGCCATGCATTTCTATTCTTTTGCTTGTACGGGCCGGCGATCTTTTCGCAATTTGTCTAGGAGTTGCGGCACGCCAGACGAGTATCCGCATTGAACTCCCCTGCCATAGATCCAAGCATCTGCAAACTGGGCTTGCGATGGGGGTCGTGCTCTGATGATATACATATTCCCCGGCGCCACTCAGCTGATCGGAATCCGTCCCTTCGGGATCTTGCTACCACTCTACTTCCCCAAACTTTATGTTCAACATCGCCTCGGTCCCTGAGGCAAACAGGTCAAAATGGCGGCGGCACAGGATACATTAGGGCCCATGATGAATGCTGTCAATTGGACATTGACAGCATTGGCGGGGACGTTTCTTGGTCTACGAATGTATTGCAAGTTCAGTCGTCACAGGGGGTTGTGGTGGGACGATCACATCTTAATATTCGCTTGGGTAAGTGATGAGATCTCGACTTCAGTTGTAATAAGATGTTTTCTAACCTACTATGGCGACGTTTTAGGCATGTCTCATCGTCGCTGTCGGGTTCATCACCAGCTCGATTTCATTAGGATTTACCAGCCCGGCAGGGCCTCAATCCCCTGAGGCTGCCCTTCGACTTCAAATCCACGGAGGTGTACAGAATGTGTTTTTCGGATTGGCCACGGTTATGAGCAAGACCTCATTCGGATTTACGCTAATGAGAGTCACTGAGGGCCGCATGAGAATGTTTGTCCTGTTTCTCACCGTCACCATGAACATAGCCGTGTTTCTATACATTATATTCACCTTCTTCAAATGCAAGCCGGAAGTATACTCTTGGATAAAAGGGCCTGGTTGCTGGAGCACCGAGAAATATATTCACTATGCTATATTCGCTGGCGGTAGGTGAATTCTATGTTATCATTTATTCAGTTTATGAGGTGAATGGGTTCGCTGACTCGCGGTGTAGGCTACTCCGCCTTCGTGGATTTTTCCTTTGCGATTATCCCTTGGTTTTTAATCATGAATCTTCAAATGAGAACAAGAGAGCGTTTCGGCGTTGCAATTGCTATGAGCTGCGGTGTAATGTATGAGTCGCTGTAATTAAGAATTCAACGGCTTGCTAATTACTGTCTAGTGCTGGAATAACCGCCGTTGTGCGATGTATCTATCTACCGCTCCTCACTCTAGGGACATTCTCGAGTAAGTTTATAGCGCTATAATAAGTGCGCTTATAAACTTGATGACTGACTCATTATTAGCTCAAGGAACAACACTGGTTATATGGTACGTGGCTGAATCATCGGCCACCATCGTCGCAGCATCGATCCCCGTTTTACGAGCCTTGATCAAAGAAATGTCCTCGTCCATGGAACGTTACAACCACAGCACTGGCAATAAATCGGGCCTAAAGAGTCATACGAAAGGCACCCCGAGGGGTCTACATGCTAGCAATGTCGTAACGACAGTTATCAGTTCCCGGAGGGACCCGCATGATCCCCACGGCGACGCGAGTAGCGATAAAAGTATTCTCGATGGAGCACACGCACCAGGAAAATCCTCTGAGGCGAGGGGAGGGATTGTACAAACTCAAGAAGTCAGGTTGAGTTATCACGACCGCAGCGACAACGACAGCGAACAAGGATACGAGATGGAATCTATGGGAAGGAAATCGCCTTAATTTATGATACCCGCAATAGCCATGTCTGGCAGGACTTGACAGCTCTGCTGAGTTTATGTATAAGATATAGGTAGTACGATTTACATGCGATATGTAATAAACTTCAACGGCCTATTTTCAAACGTTCTCACAGAAGCGCCCCTGGGGTTGAGCCTATCATCGAGGTATAAATAGGGGCTATAAATGTGTCCCATTTTGATCGAAATAGAATAAGTGTACGCAATTGCGACTATGTTCTTGCTTACGTCGGTCCGCACATCCTTTATGAGTATCACATGATAGATACTACGAAACATAGAAGAAGAAGCCTTTTTAAGGTGCTAAGTTTGGTGATAGCTTGTTGAGTATATGCTCTCAAGCAATATAATAGAGCAACAGCTACTACTCTCTCACAAAGTGAGCCTTCTTATTATCTAGATAGATATACTGCTAATAATGAGCCCATTAGCACTTAGCTCTCTCATTTTAATCCATGATCTCTCTATCATGCGGACCAACCCCTATATAAAATACAGTCTACATAATTAACGCAAACAATATCTCTACTGCGATAATGTATAATATTTGCGCTATTTGTAGATTAGTTAGCTTGTGGGCTTCGATGACAATCGCGTGATTTGCTATATTGCAACTAGAACAACATTTCTGGCAAAGATCTACATCGTATCCTCCGTGTTCTGCGCAGCTAATGAATTATGTAACCTGGTTCGAGAATCCCTTGTAGTTTTTGAAATAGGCCGAGAAAAAATTCAATTGATAAACGGAAGTAACTTCTTTAGGGATGTTGCATTACACATAAATAAGCGGTGGCCAGCATGTGAATATTTACCTTGATCATCATTATGGCCTAGTTTTCTTGGCAGGGACAATTAATAAAGCTGTCCGAATTCGTACGCGGCTTTTACTACGATATAGCAAGAGTACTCTATCTAAATAAACATAAGTCTTGTTAAATATAAAATTCTATAACTTTAAAGCGTAAAGGGGAAATTTAAGGGGAAATAAAAGACGACTTGCTTTTCCATAACAGGTACTTTAGGTACTGAATGAATTCCTGAGAAACATGATAATTGTATTTTTATATATACGTGAAGGATGGAACGTTACCAGATGTGTTTTTCAGTTTCCCAAGCGCAACATAACTTACGGGCAATATTAATCCACATTGTCGCAAAGTTATATATAAATTTAAGGGGTGGAGTTGACTACGACATAGCGATTCCTTAAATAGAAACATTCAATAGTGTTACAATTCAGCTATTTATGCTATGAGAGGATTTATTGAATAAACCTAGATTAGTTACTGGTCTGCTATATGAGGTTATTAAGTAGGCTTTTTATATCGTTATAAGTCTTGCTTAACCACCTGGATTACCGTCCGTTGGTGATTTGTCACGTGATCACAATTGTGGCATGTAATGGACAATGGGGGATACTGATAGGTAACAGATAAAATGTTTTATATCCCGAGTATTGAAAGGAGTATTCATTTCAGTTTCCATACTTAAATGTGAGTAAAATGATGTGAGTAGTAAGTACATAAAGAGGAACATATTAGAAATACAACGATTAAAAAAACATAACTCGTAGAGATAAGATAAATCAGATATCAACTTCATAAACATGATCAAATCATGTGATCAATGATCCTCAGTCTAATAATACTTCAAACAAGATGCACGTGTGCCCGAGTGGCAAATAGTTTAAAAATCAACCATGTAACCATTCGATCACGACAAGCAAATGTCGATTTTCTGATATCACAATCAAGGGTCTTATGGTGGACCATTAGTGCAACTGTGCCAAAATCAAGAAAATTGGTGGCACTATGTCTAATAAGGTAATAGTAACGTTGGGGGTACAATATAAGCTTGATTATTTGCCTTATATACACAATTTACAAGGTAATACAGATTACATAACTACCCTTTTTAAAACTAATAATACAATAACTTTACGAATATTTATCCAAATTCTTTTTAAAAAACATTAATATTTTAATTGATAAATAACAAAAATTATGGTTTAAATTGCATGTGATTTAACTTAATATTGGTAAAAATATTAAAAAAGTTATAAACGTAATTATACGGGCCGTTTTTTTTTAAAAGTTTAAAAAATTAACCAATTAAATTAAAAGATTCCATTATTAATTTAATTTTTAATTACTTTATACACATAATATAACACATTTAAATAATTTTATAATAATAATAATTTAAACGTTATAAATAATATTATTTTATAACTTTAATTAATATAAAAACAATAATTTAAATTGCATTTAAATCGGCTTTTTAACTATTATATTATAATAAAATTAAATAACGTTTATTTAAAAAAACAAACACGTAATACTTTTTAAAAATACGTAATTAATACTTTTTAAAAACACGTAATACTTTTTAAAAACACCTCGATAAAGTTATTTTAAATAAACTCCAAATACTTTAATAATAATATAATACTTAATGATGGGATATCATTACGTAAGGATAGTCACGTGGTGACACGTGACTATTCCCCACACAAAAGGCAATTCTTTCTAGGTGGCACCCACACACATAATTCGTAACCAATACAACATCAATCAATCAGTACAACAACAGTCATCGTGATAGCCTCATTTTGTTTCCTCTCCTTCCCTTTCCTATTCGTCACGTCATTCCTTTCTATTACCTAATCCGTACGGATACCCAGTCTTACCTACATTGATCAATGGTTGGTTGAAAGACAAGACCATAGATCAACAAGGTTAAAAAGAATCATAAAAAGCGCTAGACGTTTTTTTTCATCTCTTTTTGACGAGAAGAGATAGTGGCACTAGCGGCCACTATGCTACCTTAAAGGTATTCGGGGTTTAACTTGTAAGCCCACAATACCTGCGTTCCATCACGCATTTTACAGCACCCTCGCTGTATTCACAACCACCCAACATGGCCTCTTTACAGCCCGATACAGCCTCAATATGGAACAGATATATCGACGATGATATCTCAGGCATCGACCTAACCATCGACCTTGACGACTCCGAATTAGACAAAGTAACGGCGGATGAAATCAATACGTATTGTGCGGAAAGCTTTGCGTACTATTTCGAGTACCACGACGATAAATGCGACGAGGATATATGGGATGATTTTAAGGACTTTTTTACGGGATGGCAAGCAAGACACTTTCAAAAGGCACACCCCTCGCTCCAGAGACTAATGACAGACTATCTCCTGTACCACGGAGTATACTCTGATAAAACGAAGACCACCTCTGAGAGACTAGAAACAATCGCCAACGCTGAAAAATTCACGAAATTCCCACCTGACAAAAGCGCATCTCTGTCAGAACGTTACCCCGATAGCTTCATCTCAATGACTAACCCATACTACGTCGACAACCTCAACAAGATCACCGCGGCAACGATACAGTTCGGGTGGCAGGCACCTACCTGTCCAGAAATAACATCTAGACCACCTTGGATGTTGACGGTACCGGAGACAATACAGTCAATTACGACATCACCGGAGCCGATCCTACAGTCGACGATACCGGAGCCGACCTCACGAGACGTACAACCGATCCCACAAGCAGTCCCGTCAAGGCCTGATAAGCCTGTTACGTATACCCGACCGATGAGACCACGAGGCATTACCGACCATGTTAAGGTGTATTATGACGACAACGAATACAAGCACGAGGATGATAAAAGGTATGACCTAAGGGATGGCATACCGGACAAGGAGATTAAGATCGTCAAGGATCTTCATTATAAGGCTGGAATCGGGTGATTGTATCGAATCCACCACAATACACGATTGTCTCTGATTAGCCCAAGTCGACAATCCTCACAATTCGACCGAAAATAACCTCGTCCCCAGCCAGACGATTCGACCGAAAATAGCCTCGTCCCCAGCCAGACGACCCTTACTTCGACCGCTTTAGCCAGCCAGCCCTAGCCAGCCCTAGCCAGCCCTAACCAACACGATAAGAGATCCGACCACATACCCAGCCTGCCCGAGCCTATTACTATTACGATAGATTGAGACCTGTTGACAATTACGTCATAGTATAAAAGAGACGGATTAAAGGCAAGAAAAGAGAAGAAATTGTCAGTGTTGCATTAGTTGAATTGTATGTAATTACGTCATACGAGAAAAGGAGGGAAAAGAGAAAAGTTGCCAGTGATGGGATATCATTACGTAAGGATAGTCACGTGGTGACACGTGACTATTCCCCACACAAAAGGCAATTCTTTCTAGGTGGCACCCACACACATAATTCGTAACCAATACAACATCAATCAATCAGTACAACAACAGTCATCGTGATAGCCTCATTTTGTTTCCTCTCCTTCCCTTTCCTATTCGTCACGTCATTCCTTTCTATTACCTAATCCGTACGGATACCCAGTCTTACCTACACTTAATACACATAACATAAACATGTAATTTAATCCATTATTTTTACATTAATTATAATTATAAAATAATACCAATTATAACGTTTAAATTGTTATTTTTATAAAGTTATTTAAATATATTATATGTTATATATAAAATAATTAAAGATTAAATTAATAATAATAAACCTTATTATTTTATATATAATATACTATACACTTAACGTTGCTTATTATATTACCTTATTAAACATAGTGCCACCAATTTTCTTGATTTTGGCACAGTTGCACTAATGGTCCACCATAAGTCTCTTAAATCATAGGCGTTGATAATAATGCGGGATGGTGCGCGATATGACAGCATCCCGCCGTACGCCAAACCGAGAAGGGTTAAGTTTTAAAGCCACACCTGCGATTTTATGTGATGATTCCAGGGTCCAGCTGACATCCTGTACATAGTGCGGCTGAACTATTGATCAAGGGAAGGGATGACGAAAGATGCGCGGATCTACACAAATAAATTTCATCAGTGCGGACCCTGTTCTGCGGCTCTTCTGGGACATTATTTTGGTTCCGGATAGCCCGCAAGGTCCGGCTCTTCCTAGCGCCAACTGGTCTTGGTACATAGGTTTACATACGTGTGCCAGTGTGAATGAATAAAATGGTTGTGTGCCCTGTGTGCCGTGTGCCGCATCGTCGGATACTCGGATGAGAGAAACCTGCTTACTCTTTTGTGGTTTTGCTCAAGGCCCGTGACGTACAGCAAAATCGCTCAATATAAGTGACGGTGAGGCATCTCGACTAAGGTAAAGTATCTATTTCCCTATTATATCGTTGCGCAACTCTCGTTTTCGTCGAGCAGCAGATGGGCTCCTGCTAGTACACCTATTGACAATAACTTACTTGCTCGTTCGTTCACTCGCTGCTCTAGTCGCAACACATAAAATATTTATACGTCCGTCTGAAAGAAACTTGGCATATCCGAACTTACCGAATCACCAAAAAAAACATGGACGACTTCCCCAAAAACTTGATCATCGGACTCGTCGTCTGCGCCGTAGTCGTCGTGGTATCCGTCTGCCTAATTTATTATCTCGCCCTCAACTGGTCCAAGGTGGTACGGCGAATTTCTCCCAACCGCTGGGCGGAACCACAGAGCGAAAAAGCAGAATGGCCGCAGCCAAGGAAATCCATCGAGACCGACTTTTCGCCTACGTCCTCACCCACATCTTCTCCCAGATCGTCGAAGATGAGCACCGATCCGGTGATCGGTCACTTCAAAACCCACGATGACGAACCAATAACACCCCCTAGCAACGTAAAGTTATAAAGAGGTGGCATCTCCGTTGTTTTTTGCTTCTACATCACGAATTACGAATTATGATCATTGGGCATTGCATTTACGGCGTTTTAAAATAGTTTCGGGGTATGGGTTATGATATATCTAGACGCATGATCGCTCAATATGCTGGCCAGGCGTTATGGAGTCATGAGACGATGGGGATATCGTCCATGACATATTTTTGAAAGGGTTGTGGGGACTGGAGATTGAGGGGTCACGCACTAGACCATTAGATCGGGTTGCTCTAGAGTAGATCACAGCCTAGAACATCTTAAAAAGTTCTATGAACAGTAACTTTCCGGAGGCGCACTAAAAGGACGGTTGCTTATGATCTTGCTGTGGTTGTGTCAACCATGACTTACAAGACAGTCGCCACCCGTGAGTTGCTAGATACCTAGGAGGTAGCTCCATTTATCACAATCTACAGAGATTTGCACCAGCAAGTAAGTAAATCCTGTCTTTGATATATAGCAATATAAATAATTATCAGTGGAGGATTAATAAAGTCTCTTGCTCAAGTGTCGTTTCTTCAATCCGCATTGCCTGAGGGGCTATCAGACGGCAATGTTGACGTCGTCCGATATATTTATCGTCTGGTGGAAACATAGCAACGATCTTATTATCAAGCTCAGAAGGGAAATCCGACTCCAACTTGCGAATGACAATTCGCGCCGGGAATTCCTGCTCGCTTGTATGAAATCTTCCACCCTGATAGAAATGGATGCTCTCCAATTTGACAATGCTATCTCCCGCGCGTACCTTCTCATTAACAATAGTTGCTATTGAGTTGTCGAGTAAGGCTAGTCGGCAGGAGCTTCTAGGATCATGTATATCCTTATTATAGAGCTTCAATATTAGTTCACAAGCGTTATCATCACTAACACTATCTAACCAATCAATAGGGCGCGAGCCTCCCTCTTCGAGCACACTCCGTAACCAAGTGAACTCCGACCATAATTTTGGAACTGAATCTTTGATTGGTTTACGTGAAAGTTTCGTGAAATAGACAATGCCCCCTATTACGGTCATATTGTCCATGCAGCTATCCCGAGGTGGCCTCGGGGGTGGCAGAATCTCGCTGACGTGAGTGACAACCAGCGGAGGGTTTTTAGATCTGATTAAGAGCACGTCTTTCTCCGATGTTAGAGGACTATGATCTGTCCCATTGGCCTGTTGGCCGTTGATGGATCCTAACTTGGCGTCGAAACCCCAGTCAGGCACCCATGATGGGAGAATAGACCTGAGAGGCGAGTTGGCGATATTAGACAATGCCCGATTAAAACCAACATGCTTCATCATATAAAGGCCAGCTTCGATGAAGATCTCCCGAGCTGTCTTGTTATAGTCGATTTGTACGAATTCTTCGACCTCGTGACGGTCCAAGTGAAGTCCCATATTCGCATATACGAGGTCTCTCGGGTCAGTCGCCTGAGCTCTCCCTCTGATCTCTAGAATCTGCCATAGACTCAAGGTGCTTCGGTCGGCATCACTACGCGCGTGGACGGCATCATGGACATCCTTCATACGCGCCAAGTCGACCTCCATTCCCGATTGGTACTTCCTTAGCAGAGGGAGGAGTAGGTTGCAAAGATCCATCCATCTCACAAGTCTTGATCCGCATTGAAACCAAGGGTCCCTCGAAAGGACTAATTCTTGAAACGTCCAAGCCCGACGAAACCAAGGTCTGGCTAACAGTTGGCTTGACGCTGCGGCAAGATCCAAAACCTCTCTCGAGGGGCTGTCATCTTCCAAGTCCTGTTTATGTATAGGAGCCGAATTTATGCTACTGGCATTGTCAAAACTTCTGAACATTCCCCCGCGTAGTCGTTGAAGAATAAGCTGGGTATCAGGGCTTAATGGACCGAGGTAGATTATCGTGTTACCTGCGGTGGAATAGATATCCCCCATTAGAGCGACTTGTCGATTCCGTTCGGGGATATTTCTTTGGTCAATGCATAACGCGTCAATCCATATTCGGAGAATTCTTGTTTTATTGCGGATGTCTCTTAATGCGGCGCTGAGGTTAGCAGCGATTCCGATTTTGTGGCCATCGACAAGAATTGTATCAGTGGTTGTGCTGTCACCCCATACATATGATAGAGCAACATAATGGTCAGTAAAATATTGGGTAGGAAGTACAATATGTTGGAACGAGCCCTTCAGAATCGCTTCTCGATTTGGTGAGGGATCAAGAGAGAAGACCCTAATCTCCCCAGACTCTGTCAAGGGACGATACTGGAATGGTGTTGACATCTATATGCTTAGTGGATTACACGGGCCGCCGTTTTTGATCTTCCTGGAACTTCACAGTGAAGTTAGGCAGGATTATTTATTCGGTTTATTAAGGGCGTTTCCAACGAATTATGGCGACCCATCCCACTCATCGCCAGCCAATAGCCGACTCTCTAGGACGGCCTGCAGATATCCACCAACTAGGTACAGATTATATATTAGTCGTCTCCTGAATATGACCTCTAAATCGTTCTAGCTTGCGCATCACCTTTACTTATAATATATTTAAGATTCATTATAAGCTTCTCTTCTTGGAGCTGATATTTTTGTAAGGGGTGGTGCACCGGGCTTGTTGTACGACTTATATCACTCGTCAGTTTAAATCACTTAACTGAACTTCAGATAAAAAGGCCTTAGACATTTCTTAACCTTGGTTTGAAATTAATATTATCCGTAGCTTGAGATAGTAGCGCTGAGTTATATACACTAGCTGCGTAGGACCCCCTTATTGCAACGAGGTATCATGATATCATATAGGTTAGGTATCTACAGGGGCTACTACCGAGCTTCCGACGTTGATAGGTCGTAATTATTGATTGCGAGAGCTACGTTGATACCCAAATGTATACCAGAAGGAATGATATTGGTTTTAACTAGAAGCGTCTTATAGTCCAGAACCATTAAGACACTACGACTACGTTCGCTACGAGGATCAACCGTGTGCCCCACCCCCTTTTCCTTTCCGTCTAGCCAATGAATGAGAGTGTTGATGGGACATGAGCTGCTCCAGGCATCTCTAACTCGAGATACATTTAAGAATCCATATAGCCTTAATATCCAACAAACCAAACCCGGTTTTTCCATTTACATCAAGTATTTGTTTCATACATTCTCAGCATCCACTAAAGGTCCAGCCTTTAGGATAATCCTATCGCTCGTCTCACTCACTAGAGGGGAGTCGCACCGTACTTGAGTAGCAAATCCACTGCTCCCTGGTTTTGCTTTGCCATGGCAATCTGTAAAGGAAGGCAATACTCAAACGTAAGGGGTCGCATCAGAGGCATATTCGGATCGGCCCCTCCGCAGAGGAGAGCGTCAAGGCATGCATTCGAGTATTGGGTCGCTTTTTGATCGCACACATGGTACATAGACCGAATTTGTTCGACCGCCGGTGCCGAGCGAAATAAATCCCGTTGAACCATGGCCCGTACGATCTCGGGGTTTCCGCACAAGACAGCTCGTAGGACAGCTCCGGTATGAGGCTTGCCGGTCGACCTGTTGATGAGTTCCGGGAAAGGGTTTGCGCCATGGTCAAGTAGGAGTTCGCACATGGCTACGTTTCCTTGGTCGAGGGCCAGATCAAGCGGAGTCTCTCCTTTCTGATTAGACTGGTTTGGGTCCGCACCCCTTTCCAGTAGCATTCGCACAACCGTTATGTCTTTACCCCTGCATGCATAAAGCAGAGAAGTCCATCCCGACTTCGACACATATTCCCAAGGCGCACCGGCATCAAGGATGACGCTTGCAACAGCATAATTTCTAGACTCCAAAGCTTTGAACAAGCGTGTCTTTGTAGCCAACATCCCAGCTGCATCTTCGAACTGTAAAGCATATTGGAGAGAAGCAACCTGGTTCTTGTCGATAGCCCTGTTTATCATCGAGTCCAATAGCGTCTTCGATGGAAGTCTTGCGTTAAACCTTTGCAGGAGTTCGCAGAGTTCTATATGACCACCCATAAACAGCGGTTCAATTAGGGATTCGGTAGAACCGCTAGTCGCGTTAGGGGATGAACCATACTCCAATAATAATTTGACCATGGTAAACTTGACAGGATGCTTTTCCCCTGAACGGCACAATATCTCCAAAGCGGTCTGCCCTGAGTATTCCACGTCCGTTGTCGAGGCACCCCTCTGAAGTAGCAACCTAATAGTTGGGAGTAGACGATTTAGATCACCTATAAACGTACATGCTCTCATGAGCGGAGTCATTCCACGGGAATCCCGGGCATCAACCTCGGCTCCGGCGTCGAGTAGGTACTCCACGATGAGATCCAAGCCCCCCGCGGCCGCGACTGCTAGAGGGGTATCACCATTGATGTTCTTCTCATTAACGTCTACTCCGGCCTCGACAAGCCGCTTCAAGAGCGTTAATCGACTATTTTCCAGCCCATACCCTCGCTCGGCTTTTGAAGTTGAAGTGTTCACAGATACACCGGGAGCCTCGCAACAATAATGTAAATATGTAGCTCCAACACAGCGACTAGGGTTAGCACCCAGATCGATGAGATTGAGCGCATCTCGGAAACACCCTCTCGCGCATGCATCCAAGAGCAGCGTGCAGCCATTGCCATCTTGAGCATTGATGTTTGCGCCATTTTGTAGCAGCCAGCCGATCATATTCCAACGACCTGCCTTGTAGGCCCAGTGAAGCGGGCTCATGCCATGAGTATCTTCAATGTCGATTGGTGGCTGGTAGTGGTCTAAGAGGAAACGGGAGAGGTCGAGAGCATCTAAAGAGCTTGATATGTGTAGAGCGGTTATGTAATTGCTCGAAGAACCTAATTCTCTTGACGCTACCTGGAAAGAGGCGCCTCGGGCTACTAGGATCTGGGCTGTAGAATAATTATTATAGCACTAGATATAAGGATAAGCGATTGAAAATACAGTGAATATCCGGCCAGACAGATATGTTCATGAACCTACTATAGCTGTATGAAGAGGCATCCACCACGGAAATTCTTCATCTGGAAGTTCCCTATTATTAACAAAATCATACGAACCTCCGCACACGCAGAATCCACGAGAGAGGGCGTTGACGTTCGCGCCATGATCCAATAGCAAGTTGATGATATCGTCATGACCTAGACTAGCAGCAAGATGGAGAGGTGTCCATAGCTGTGAAGGTAGTTTATCCTGTGGATTCGAGCGAATCCAAGTATTCGTGGATGGTACAATGCTAACACCATTATCCACAAGTGACGTCCGCCGCTCCGGATTCCACTGCGCTAGAACATGGCGCTCAATCGCTTCTAGGGCCGATAGGCCTCTACTAGGAGGGTCAGGCAAATGAAAGATTAACATGGCCTGGTCCGGGCTGGTGCCTGCTGCTAGCAATTTCATAACTACTTGGGTTCTTCCCAACTCAACAGCCCAGAAAAGGACGTCTATGTTCTTACCGGCCCGATGATAAAGGACGTGATCTAAAGCTCGGTGGAGAGCATGACAACAACGACAGGACATCGAAATATCCCTGATGTCCAAGTGTTCTGCAACGAGAGTAAGGAGTTCATTGGGTAATCGTAAGAGCGCCATTTTTCGACTGTTTGCTTCTCAGCTCATTTCTTCTCTAGAATTAATTCTGGAATAGATGTAGTTCCTTTTATAGAAAATGTGTGTGTATGAGTGAAAGAATTGTATATATTATCGATGTAAATATTTGAGTAATGAAACACCTCAACGCGAACGTAGACGCGGACGCGGACGCGGGGTTGGAGTATCCTGGACGTGAGATTCTCTTGTTACTTGAGCAGTTAAGGCAATTGGGAAATAAGCTGACCAAGGAGCGCAAGATAAACAGAGTCACAAGGTTTATTCTTGCCAATCAGCTCGATTTAGAGCCGAGTATCAATGCAATAGGACTCTAATCTTGCATGAGATTTGCTTTTCTATCATTCGAATTCAAAGGAATAAGGCGTCACGTGAGTGTCACGTGTATATCCTGTAGAAACAGCGTTGACAAGAGTAGAAGTTCTCTTCTTATGCGTAGATACATGGTCTTCTCTCCCTTTTTAAGAGTCTCGTTAGATTTTAATATTAGGTAAGTATTTGAGCATATACTCAATTTCAACCCGAATAATAGTAGTTAAATGATTCTTATCAGTTCTTATAAACTAGTTATAGCTCTCAACTAATGTATTTGACAAGTTATGAGCTATAACATATTTATTTGTGATCAGGTTATTAGAAAAAATCACATAATGACATGTAGGCAGTCAGTATTCTGGTTATCCAATCATTAAAACTCATAACCTCATCACTTATAATAATTGAGGACATATGAGTTGGGCGTCAATCTAAGCTACAGTAGTAAATGACTTCGTAATCTCTTAGCCCTTTTTTGAAAAGAAATATCATGAGTATGAAGTTACATGTCGATGTAGAAGTTTAAAGAGGGCCTCGTACAGTATTAAGACAGTAAGATAATAGAAATACGGTATGAATAATATCTACGCACGGTGAATGGAATAGTTTAGAACGCCCGTAGTTAGTCAGTCTATTGTTAGAATTGTTGGACAATAGGGATACTTTCTATAATAGGGTTAAATATGAATTGCCCTTAATTAATAACTTTTCTTGAAACTGAACCGACCCTTTAGCTGATTGGCTACGGCAGACGACGGGTAGATCAAACATTAACTTGGCTGATGAAACCTATAGCCAAATCAAATCGAGGGAAGTACCTAAATTTACAAATGAAGGTGACGCAATAAGGTAACGCGGAAAGTTAGTATTTCTCGTGTCTTACACGGTCACAGGAATATCATTATCGTCGAATTGTAATCTGAACTGTCATTCAGTCAGATTTTCCCTTGATACATATGAACTCACATATGCAGCGACAAAGAAGGACACGTGCAAGTACAATGCAACCATATCTATCCTCTCTGCATATGAGCACAAGCAGGCTGCGAGGAAAAAAGATCGGACGACGTTACGATCAGAAAATGCCTAGGGTCTATGAAACCAATCAAAGGATAGATGACGAGCATGGCTCTAGGGTTAAGCGAACTGATTGGTCAATTCTTGAAATCCAATTAAACGCGATTAAATATTTGACGCGTCGAATTCGCGTCTCGACGCGTCTCCCGCATCTCCCGTATCTCCCACATTTTACTCAGTTCCACTCTTCCCCTCCTCTTCAACCCAAGACTTTCGCCGGCTTTCCACTGCCCCAATAATGATTGACATGTCCAGCGATCGCACCAAATACCGGTCGAAACCAACCGGGGAATTTTGCGTAAAGTGCATGCAGAGCCTACCTTAGGTACGCTACCTTAGGTACCTAGGTAGGTAGGTTAGGTACTCGTTTCTTCAATGTCTATTGCCCTGCGTGCATTATCAGTACCTAATGCAAGGGCATTGGGAGAAGGAGGGGTGATCTTGATAGTAAGTGTGGGTGGTCTCGGGCTGTTTCCCGCTGCTACTTAGGTAATGAGACGAATATAGGATATACCTCCTTCAATGTTATGACATAGAAGTCTATCCTAATCAAAGAAATCGTCATGCAATGCGCAGGGATCGACAGCAAGTTCAAGATCTAGTTGCCTTACGATACCGGACTACGTAGTATGTATGTATAGGATGACTACCTGTAATAGAAATAGTGTATACGGTAGGTGAAAAATGATTAACTGTTAAAGCTTCGTCACCTAAGCTGACTGGAATTTGACGGTGACCGTTCGCGCCAAATAGCCTTACGCGCTTTCATTCTCCCGGCTACATTCTCACCTTGATGGAACTGTTCTCAGATTGTCCGCGGGTTCCACCGCATGGCCATTTAGAAAGGCGTAACGCCTATCTGATACTCTTCACGGCTCTAGATTACGTATTGTTAGGTACATTACATTACGTATTACACATCCTAGGACTTGAGAACAGCTCCCTTCGATATTCGAGGGTGTAAAGGGCGGTTACAGTCAAACACTTTAACGTCTATATAGGAAGATATAATAGTCAATCTGACGATAAGCTACCTAAGGTAGCAGCACACCATCGCAAAAGGAGATTTTGGTTGAGACTATATTGTGAGACTATTCCCACAACGTCTAGTTTTTAAGGGCAGTGGGACCTGGACGGGTCGATCAGGTCTAGTGGCTTTTCTTCTGCACACCATCTCCACGGAGAGCTAAAGAGTTAGGAGGTGATAAATTACTAAGAAGGTTTAGAATCAATGGTGTAAGGGTTGTATCGAAGTCTCAATCGGGGTGTAAGTGCTTGCTTGTAAAGCGCTTCTTACCTCTTACCCCTGGTTCGTCTGGGCTACATAGTACATCAATTAACCTAGTACCTTCTCCCTTGATGTACCTAACTTTTTAATGGCCGGGTCACTCTCCATAGCGGTTAAGCTACCTACCCAAGGTTAGTACCTGAGTTCTGATCCACTATATTGGCCCCATAGTGTACACCTCTACATAGACCTCTAGACCGAAAACGGTACGTATCATGTGGGCCATTCGTGCGACCTGGACAGGCAGTGCAGTTTTGACCCGTTCCTGGGATTCTTTCTCTTTCTTGTTGGTCTTATTAGGCGCATTATTCCAGCCCTCCCGTCTCTCCCACTCCGAGCTTCCACTTTCCCACTTACACCTCATCTCCTAGCAACCGTCCGCTGATCGCCCGCGTTTCCCGTCGCATAACAGTCATCGCTCAACTCCAACATACATTACTATCGCAACTTACTCTTGAATAAAGATTATAAAACAATTTACATACTACTTATATTAAATTTATATAACTATTTGCGCAACTGTTATTATTTAACTACACCGAGCGCGTCGCATTCCAGCTACAGTCGCATTCGAAATCTCGCGACATATTCCGCTTGGAGCAACGTCTCGCCACGCACAATCGCCACACAAACAACACCAAAGCAACACTTCGAATAAGTCGTCGTCAAAATGTTGATGCCGTCAGCACTTTCGTGCGACTCGTCGCACCCGCCTGTTACTAGGCTTCAGTCCGCTCTTTTCGCGTCGCCGCCCGCTAGTCCCCCAACGAGCGCGCACAACAGCACGCTCGGAAACATTTTCCAGTCTTGCCGCGCGCTCCAATCTATGCTTACAGCACCCGCGACAATCCCCTCAAATGACAACATCGAGACGCGCCGGGATCCGCTACCTACACCGCCAATGGCTCACACCGCTCTTCCGCCTCTAAAACTACGTCTGCGATCGCGCAAAACTGACACCAATGGGGAAGTTCTCCCTAGGAAGAGAGTCGTAAAGAGATCAGCAGCACCACCTCGCGGCGCCAATAAGCGGCGCCGCGCCGTTGAGGATGACATGGGTCGCGATGAGGACATGGAAAGCGACCTAGAAATAAGTGGTTCGGAGAACGAAGAATCAAGCGCCAGACCTAGCACGCCAAAACGCGCTCGCCTTGCGCCGGAAGTAATACCAATGGGTCTAGGGCGGAGAGACTTCCACAATTTACAATCTACCAGGGACGAAGAGAGTATGGTAGAAGGCACAGAAGTGGAAGTAGAAGCGGATGGCGAGCGGTGGAGCAAAGAAGACGACCGGATACTGGTCGAGCTTGTCCTGGAGAAGCTCAAACTCTCCAAGACAGACTGGCAGGACTGCGCGCGGAGTCTGGGCAAAGACCGGGGCAGCATCGGGCGGAGGTGGAGGAGTCTGATGATCAATGGGGATGTCGGGCTCAAGTCGTTGCGGAGTCGGCGAAGCAAACTACACAGCACCTGGAGGTGAAGTCCACGTGCTCTATCCATTCATTCACATGTCTATTTTGTTTTCTATCTATTATTTTCTTGGATCTCGGAACCCGAGTTCTAGCTGTACTTTGGACAAATATTGTGGTGCAAAAGGGAAAGGCTAGGCGCTTTAGAGTACTGGATACCTGGATAAGATATCCCATATCGCGCGAAACGCGCTTGATAGGTTGGCGGTAATTGTCGGTTATACTTTTGGATATCAACTATTATTGAAATACAATGATCTTGCCTCTTATTACTTATTTTCTCCATCTTCTACCATTGCAGTGCCCAAATGTGAAATCTTTACTTGTGAGTAGTCTTCATGCATGCAAGTCCTCCTTACACGCCAAATGTAGACATCTACACCATTGCAGCCCCCCAGGGCTGGCTAACCACCTAATTAGAGTGGCTATTACGAACTTCCAACCCCGTATTTTCCAAAAAGGGCAAAGCAGTCGCCTTCTTGCAAGTGTAGATAAAACCCTCACAATCCGCACACCTTGAAGCCGAAAACGGAATACCAAGCGTTCTCGGTACCCGGCACTCTCGCTAACGATCACCAGGGTCTCTCTCTTTTTTTTTTGGTCTGTTTTCGCGTCGAGGCCAGGTTTTACTGGTCGACCATCTAGCACGATAAGTTTCCGCGGCTCCGCTGCGGCGGCTAGGGTTACGTTGGCTCCCGGGGGACCGGGGGGGTGTGTTCCCATAGTATTTTGGTTACGGGAGGCTGGGAGATTCATGCCGCGGAGCTGATAAACTAACCTAAACCTAACTCGCTCTGAAAAGTCTGGGGGTGGTTTTTTTTCTCTCCCTTCTCATTCTCCAGCTCCCCCGCCTTCTTCATTCCTAGAAAGGGATGGTGGTCGTGTCTGAGTTTCTGAGTCGATACGCACGTATGACTTGCATTGAAGATCGCCCCCCCAGCCTCCTATGTATCCTGCCCCTCGACGCCCTTGCTTCTGTTCCAGGAGGTTGGTTATACGTTCACAGATTAGGTAGGTAGGTCCGTATGGGGCTAGGAGGATTGTGGAGAGAGACAGAGATTGGTAAAATATGAGATTTGCACGCGTTCTATCTACTAAAAGCAACTACTTATTCCATATAACTACCCCATCTAGTAGTCTTCATCCTCGCCCTCATCCTCATCCTCGTCTTCGTCTTCGTCCTGATCATCCTCCCTCCCACGACGCCCAATCGGCTGGTTCTCGTGCCGAGGATAACCATCAGCTTTCCATTTCTCAATGCCGGCCAAGATCCGCGTTATAGTCTATTGTTTACTGCCCAATGCTGGATATGAAAAATTGCTATTCGAAATTTCTTAAATTGTTCGAGATCGGTCAAGGCGAAGCTTGAAGTTAATCTTATATAGTAGCGAGGACAGCGTTTCGTTTCCGTGGGAGTAGTAGTTACGATTACTTCTCTCCACATGACATACATGTGTGCGAGATAGGGTATCGTGCTAAGGAGAAAGACCATGTCCTGGTCCCCGAGTACCGGCCAGGTCATATCCAAGGAAATGCGGCCGCTGATGAAGGATTGGTTCTCTGCTATTATCATGTCGCCGTCGTAGGCTTTCGATTCTATGATTAAGTATGGAAAGCAAACGTGTCTGTCAGGCATGCTTCTAAACTGTTCGTAACCCGGGTTTCCCATAGGGGTCTCCACATAGAACGTACACGCAGATTATTATACCCGAAGATCATAGCGGGCTTCTGATTGTGCAGCGTATTTAGGCCATTTTCCGGGGGTAAAAGGGTGACTTTGAACATTTCTCGGCTACAATAAATCAGTAACGAAGAGGGTATATGTTTTCTTCCGGAACTAGGGAATCATCGGTCCAGCATCGTCGTCGAAGATCTAGAGCCTCAAAGAGGCAATATACCCTGTCCGTACTGAGGCCTACATAGTTGCGATATAGGCTATCTATATCTATATCTACAGGAATATCATCCCCTTCTACACTATTCACTTGGTCGATATGCTCCTGGACCCAATCTGGAAGCGTGGTGTAAGGGCGGAGCAGTTCGATTCCATTGTTGCGGAGGGTACAAGACCGGAACGACTCAAACTTCAAGTAGCCAAGAGTATTTTCCGATGTGTCCGTAGCAATCGTGGGAAAGGAGTTTGAGGTAGTGGACGAACGGTAAGTCTTCACCGGATCCGGTGGGCATGGGTCGTCAATATTAAGCCACGCGGCTATTTTAGGAATTTTCTCGAGAGCAGAAATCGGACTCTTCGACAGAAGGTGATGGTTGTCGCTCATTAGATCGGGGTTGTGGCAAGTCACACGGTGAGGATGAGGGATAATGATCAAGAGGCAGTTGTTGTTGATGATCGGTTTGGAAGTCCATGATGGTAGTATGGTAGTATAAGTAGGCGTAGGTCTTGATATGACTCCTTTGCAAAAGTGCCTACTTACGAACAGGATAGCTGTGTGAGATTGAAAGTTATGTAGGAGAGTAACTAGTTAGGTGAATACTAAAGAGATAATTTTTATCCCTGATGTATTTAGTCTTCCTATAGCTGAAGCACCTAAATATATCTGATTCTTTACTTATTATTGCACTTTTCGCACTGTCTTTTTGAAAAAGCCTGCAGCATTAACACTGTATACTTAGGTGTATTACTAGTAGGTTACCTATCTTGTTCATTCGATTTCATACTTCGCCCCCTTTCTTGTTTATCTTACTGATCACATACCTACCAAGGTTCATGTTTAAATCAATAAGTTAGCCTTCATTTTGGTAATGTTAAGCACGATCTGAATGCTATGTTAACGTAACTCTTCTCAGTAGCCATGGGTCGTTGTGATGTTGGTTACCTTTTCGCGCGGTATGGCGTAAAGCGAGAGAAAGCTGTCACTCGTCTTACCAAAATTTAGTAGGCAATGATAAGTTGTGTAACGGAAAGTTGCATTTCATCGTGCATGAATCCGTGTCCAATAGATATGCTACAGTCCCTCAATATGCATCGTCGCTGTTCTACTTCTCCGAGCCTATGGAAACTAGGTGTCATTTTATATAGTTATCTTGTAATCCCAAAATTACTATCCCAAAGATACCCAGAGCAATACATTCTTTACCATCTATTCAAATTCTTGATTTACGCCACTCAAATATGAGCACGCTGATTCCTAGAGGCCCTTCGAATGCCGCCCGTGGTCAATGGCGGGGCCGTGGTCGCGGCCGCGGTCGCGGTAGTGGTAGTGGTAGTGGTAGCGGTAGTGGTAGCTGGCGAGGACGAGGACGAGGCAACAATGGGAGAGAACAAGGCCCTAACTGGAGCCGAAGCAAAGATCAACCATCTAGGAGCACTATTGATGATGCCCCTCTCGGTCGACTTATCACGAAGATTACTTTAGAAAGTACTTCAAATTATAATACACGGGCGGGTGATGCAAAGATTAGCAATTGCAAATATGCAGCATCGTACTCTCTAGTCGACTCTAAAACACCCAAAATTATTATTCCAGGTATGTCACCAAGATCAATAGCCACCAGAATGCTAACACGGTAAATAGGAGAGCCAGCAAAATGGACGCCACCTCAATTACCTTCACAACTTCCTGGAGATCGTGGCGATTATCTCCGGGATCACAATGGAGCAAGATTTCCCGAGCACCCCATGCTGCCCTCTGTTCATTCTCTCCTTTCTCTGAATGAAGGGTTTGACACGTCAGGAGTTGACATCATGGGTTGCGCGAGTTCTCTAGGAGACCTTCTCCGGTTCGTACGATCGGTCAATTTGACCTTCAGATTCGACGTTGAAATGGTTGGAGATACTTTATTCATGATTCGTAACTGTCGCGATCAAGTCATTCCTGACGTCCGTGGATATGGCCATTCCTTCTTAGATTCCTTCACTTCTTATGAACCCAAGATGCGGGAAACTAAATCACATCAACGTATCGTCTCTTATTCCTTCAGCGGGTTGAAATGTCTCGTTCGTTTTGAATGCGATGGACATTTGGCAAGTGATAGAGAGGATTTCACTACTACGGCTACTGAACTAGATGGCTTAAACCTTTCAAAATCCCCCGCTATCGAGACGGCCGGAGCGATCGTACCTCAGCGGTCAATCATTGAAATTAAGACAAGGTCTAAGGCAAGATCTCAAGTCGGTGCACCAGTTGATATGGATGAGCAATTGCCTAGGCTATGGCTTCGTCAAATCCCCAACTTCGTCACGGCATATCACGTTACAGGAAACTTTGAAGATGTTCAAGAAAAAGCCATCGAGCAAGAATTGCTCGATTGGGAAAGCAGCCATCAATCCGAACTGCAGAAATTCGCTTCCATTCTACGCCAACTGATTGTTGAGGTCAAACGGGCCGGTCATTTGAAGCTCGAACTGTGTCGAACCGAGTCAGGACCACTCGAATTAAGGGAGCAAGCCGGTAAACCTCGGGAAGTACTTCCAAGTGATTGGAGGGATATATGGGCTAGGCAGAATCATGGACCAGGCAGCGATGGCACAGCCTGCTTGAGTGATGAGGATGAGGACGACAGTTATCCCAGCCTGCTTTCTCGTAAGGGAGAATCTGACGAATCGGATGATTCTGATGATGACTTCTCGCTAGATTTCACAGCGTGTGACCCCAGCTGCGGATATTGCGGTAAGTGTGCCTAAAGATGAATGTATGGATGTGTTGGCATGAAGTAGTATCAAGTAGTATCACTATCAAGTAGCATAAGGAATCTCCCATTTTCTCTATTGCGCGTTCGCGCGTTTGCGTGTTTGTGTTCGTGTGCCCGCATGATAGGCATAATTTACTCCGCACTTAGGCCAAATGATAGAGAGCCGTTATATGATTGAGTTGAATCCCGCACGGTACTGTGTTACATGTATGCAGGTTGGCCATGGAAATGTGAGATGTGAGATATGAGATAATGCGGCCTACCGATTCGAAAGCCACGTTATCGGCTTGAGACAGAGAGACTCGAAACGGAGAGACTCAAAAACCGAGGGACATCTAGTCTCAACTGTTTGCCTTATGTTGCTTTACTTCATTTTTATAGAAGTAATGCTCTTGCTTTCTCCTAGAGCTTCGCCAATATTCTACTAAGGTAACATTGCTCATTATCGACGACAACGCGATGTCATACCAAGCAGCTGCTAGCGGACCATCACCAAATCAAGATCAGGACACTAACTTCCGATCTCGAGCGCTTAATAAGTTTTTCTATAGAATACTTGAAGGGAAAGGGAAAGTCACTGGGGTTAGAGATGCACAAAAGTTTCTCGAGTCCATTGTGAACAGAACTGACAGGCCAGACTGCATCGAGAGGTTGGCTTCGTCCAAAAGTGGTCAAGAAGCCCTCCACAAGTCATTGACCATAGATACCTCCGCCCAATTCATTAACAGTCATGTCTCGAATCTCTTGAAATTCCTCGCGGACCCTGCCCTGCAGAGGGTTTGCGAGGGAGAACTCCTCAATCAAGTCCTTTGGGTTATGGTTGACCCATCGTTATTCTGGGATAGTTTAATCCAGAATGTAAAGTCCGAACAACTTGAGACTCAAGTCGTGGAGGGCTTCGCTTGGCTACTATTGCAGTTGATATTATTGCCACAGCTACAATCGTCCAAGTTCCGAGAAACCGCACTGTCGCTCTGCCAGGACGACACTCTCAAGAAACTCGAGGAATCGTCATCTCCGATATCTGGAAGCATATTTCAGAAGATCCGGGCATTAGTCCAGCCTTCACAGTCTGTTGCGAATTCTCATCTGGTCAATAAATTTAGTCCAGGGGGTCGCCACGATAACGACTTCGCTAATTACCATGATATATCAATCCTTCCTACTAGGGCCGAGATGGAATCTGCCGAGATGCCCTTCTACATGCAGGCTGGGGTAGCATTTGAGGAAGGGAACGTAAATCGTGCGCTTGACCACCTCGACAATCAGTTCCGTCTCCTTAGAGAAGATATGCTCGCAGATATGCGCGAAGACCTCAAAAACATGAGGAACAAAGCCAGGAGGCAAAATTGGAGAAACATGGTTATAAAAGATCTCTCGTTGGAGGATATACACAGAGACTCAATGGCGAATGACCGGCCATGCAATCTGGTGCTCAGATGCTCGGGGGATATTTTACCGCACATGAATAAAGCGAGTATCGAAGATAGAAAAAAGGAGTTGAAGAAGACTCCAGCATTCTTAAAGCACCAAAGCTTTGGTTGCTTTATGAAGGATGATAATCTCCTGGCATTTGCATCTCTGGACAGGAACGAAGATAAACTATCGCTTAACCCGCCTCGCATCTGCTTACAGGTCGTAGGTGAAGATATGTTGGCAGACCTTTTAGTAGCTTTGCAAGGAGGCACGGTTGACTTTTTACTTGTTTCAACCCCTATTTTCGCCTACGAACCGATTCTAGAGAGACTTAAGCGGAAGACTGATGTTGAACTCGACCACGATATCCTGGTTCGATCGAAGGAACCACAGGAGTCACCAATCAAGCCGGAGGCCATTATTGATGCCTTGGAGGCGTCTTTAGCTACCCCGACTGACTTACGGCAGCTAATTGATGCCAAAAAGAACATCAACCTAGATCCATCACAAGTTAAAGCCCTCATATACGGGCTACAGTATCAAACATGTCAGATACAAGGTCCACCAGGTATGAAAGTCCCAAGAGCGGCTACTATAAGGCTATAAACTCTAACCTATAATACAGGAACTGGAAAATCCTTGGTTGGTGCTCTTCTAACGAAGATCTTACTCGATAAAACAAATGAGACGTTGCTAGTTTTATCATTTACGAACCATGCACTTGACCAATTCATTGAGGACTTGCTCGACATTGGGATCGACCGCAGTGTCATTGTCCGACTTGGATCGAAATTCACTGATCGAACTGAATCTCTCACCTTGAAAAATCAGACAGCCGGCTATGTTAGGCTATCGAGGACTCGGCAAGACCTAATTAACGCCGAGAAAGCCAAGTTGCAGTCATTGGCTGAAGGAGTAGAAAAGCATTTCGATGCCTTTTCGGAATCACGAATATCTTATAATGACCTGTTAGAATTTCTCGAGTTCTCAGATACAGAGAGTCATTTCTTTGATGCACTCGAGGTTCCAGAAGCAGCGGATGGTGAGACACGTGTTGGAAAGAAGGGTGCCTCGATGAAACCCGACTATCTCCTCGATCTCTGGGTAAATGGAAAGCAGCCCGGTCCGTTTGCTAAGGATAAATCAGATGCTTCGTCTAAGGAGGTATGGGCCATGAAGAAGCCAGATCGGCAAGCGAAGATTCAGGAGTGGAAACACGAAATTCATCGAGAGAGGATTTCCACGCTCGCCAAGTGGATTACTGACTATAACAAAACCCACAAGATCCTACAAAGCTTGCGGAAGGAGAAAACAGAGCAAACTCTCCAGAGCAAGCGTATTATCTGCTGTACTACTACTGCGGCATCAATGTATGCGCAAGAAATACAGTCCGCTGCGCCCGGGATTATCGTCGTTGAAGAGGCAGGAGAAATCTTGGAAAGCCGTATGTATATTCCAAAGCTGTTTACCCACCCTCATCCCCTTTTCAGGTATATTTGTGGTCATCCACATTTATCAAGAGATGAGTCGACTGCTGTAACCGAGAAACCCTTTCGTATTATTCTCTTAGTATGAATCGCTAATTCGAGATATCCAAGACATCCTCGCGGCTATGGGTCCTAGCACGAAACAGCTCATCCAAATCGGTGATCACAAGCAGCTTCGGCCGAAGGTGAAGAACTTCAAGCTTACCGTGGAAGCTGGACGCGGGTTTGATCTCAATCGGTCGTTGTTTGAGCGGCTCATAATTCAGGGGCAACCACACTGCACGCTATTAAACCAACACAGAATGAGGCCAGAGATTTCGGCTTTGATAAGACACAACTATCCTGACCTAGAAGACGCAAACGATACACAAAACCGACCACGGCATTCAGGATTTCAAGATAACGTTGTCTTCATCAATCATAATAATCTTGAAGAGAAGCACAATGTTCTTGTTGACAAGCTTGATCCCACCGCTGGATCAAGTAAGCAGAACATCTTCGAAGCGGAAATGGTTTTGAAGTGTGTCCGATACTTGGGACAGCAAAATTATAAAACTTCGAATATAGTAATTTTGACTCCATACCTAGTAAGCTTCGATCAAATAACTGTATAGCATTAAGTCGCTAATATACCATAGGGCCAGCTATCATTGCTCAAGAACAAACTCAGCAAGGACCATGATCCGATCTTGAACGACCTTGACTCCCACGACCTTGTCGAAGCCGGGGAAATACCAGCCGCGAGTGCAGGCGTAAATAAAACGGCTATTCGGCTTTCAACTATAGATAATTACCAGGGAGAGGAGAGCGATATCGTTGTTGCCTCATTGACTCGCAGTAATGATGATGGAGATATTGGATTCATGTGTGCCCCAGAACGGCTCAACGTGCTTGTCTCTAGAGCTCGAAATGCATTGATCATGATCGGTAACGCGAGTACCTTCATGAATGCTAAGAAGGGACGAGATGAATGGATAAGATTGTTTGACCATTTGAAGAGGGATGGGAGAATCCAGGATGGATTTCCGCTCAGATGTGAAAAGCACCCAGACACGAAACATATTGTTCGTTCGCCTGATGAATTTGAGTTTTACTGCCCAGACGGAGGATGCACTTTGCCATGCAATGAGTTGTTATCTTGCGGCAAGCATACGTGCTCAAAGCGATGTCATCTACGAATCGATCATTCAAAGATGCCTTGCAACGCCATCATCAACGATGTTTGCTCACAGAAGCATAAACTGGTATGGGCTTGTTTTAACAAGACTCCACCCGCCTGTCAGATTTGCCGTCGAGAGCAGGAAGAGAAGGCTCGAAGAGCCCGCAGGGACAAAGAGCTAGAACTTGAGCGGCAAGCAAAGCAGCTCGCATACGCTAAGCTGCTAAAAGTCCTCCAAGACGACATCGAGAAGCAGAGGAAGATGATTAAAGATGCCCAGGAGGAGAGAATAAAGGAGCAGACTCTACAGCAGCATCGCCTTGAACTTGCCGAGTTGACAAAACAGGCCCGGAAACCCGTCATTAACAATAACAATCCCGTATCAGATACCAACGCTAAGCAACAACCGACTAAGCATGCAGTCAAGCCCAGCAAAGACGACAACCAGAATCCCCAACCCAAAAACCCACCTGCCAATAACATGCCAGGCCAATGGCCCACCGAGAATACGTCTACATCGAGTACGGAACATGACGATGATAACAACAATGGCAACAAGAACAATAGTAACAAGGGTAATGGGAATAATCATGGTGGCAGCACCAATGGCGCTAGCAATGGTGGCGGTAACAATGGCGGTAATAACGATGGTAAAAACGACGGTAAAAACGATGGTTACAATAGTGATCACAATGATCACGATGATGATAGCCCCGATGACAGCACACCTGGAACCCCTCAAGGCCGGCCATTCCCATCTAGGGGACCTTCAGCAGCCGAAACAGATTGGCAGTATCAGAAGAAGTACGAAAATGTCTTCAATGAAGCTCTTGACTCTCTATTTAATATGATCGGATTAGAGAGTGTGAAGAAAGAGTTTCTGGCAATAAAGGCAAGAATTGATACTGCCATTCGCCAGGGGGTAGACACCAAAGATGAAAGATTCGGGGCAGCCTTGCTAGGGAATCCTGGGACAGGCAAAACAACAGTTGCCAGATTATACGCCAAGTTCCTATCTTCCGTTGGAGCGATTCCTGGTGACCACTTTGAGGAGACTACCGGCTCACGGTTGGCTAATGACGGAATACAAGGCTGCCAGGCGCTGATAGATAAGATCCTTGAAAAGGGGGGTGGCGTTTTTTTCCTGGACGAGGCATACCAAATTGTGTCTGGGAGCTCTTTTGGTGGCGCTCAGGTGCTCGACTTCCTTCTAGCAGAGATAGAGAACCTCACGGGCAAGATTGTATTCGTCTTCGCCGGCTACCGGAAACAGATGGAGGGTTTCTTTGCCCACAATCCAGGCATCCCTAGCCGTATCCCCATTGAGATGAGTTTCCAGGACTACGAAGATGATGAACTGCTCAAAATCATGAACTACCAGCTGATGAAGAAGTACAACGGCCGCATGCAGGTCGAAGGCGGATCTGAAGGGTTGTACATGCGGGTTGCGGCGCGGCGTATTGGTCGCGGTCGAGGGAGAGAAGGGTTTGGCAACGCCCGGCAGGTGGAGAATGTACTGACAATTATCCTCAGAAGACAGGCAGACCGCCTGCATCATGAGAGGCGTCAGGGAAACCGACCGAACGACTTGTTGCTTCAGAAAATTGATCTCATCGGTCCAGAACCGAGCAAGCAATTTTCTAGTAATAAAGACTGGCAGAAACTCCAAAGCATGATCGGGCTGGGTTCAGTCAAGCAGTCAGTCATGGTTCTCGTCGACCGCCTACAGACGAATTACGAGCGAGAGTTGAAAGAACAACCCCCTGTCGAATGCTCTTTGAATAAAGTCTTTTTCGGGAACCCCGGAACTGGAAAGACAACAGTTGCGAAGCTCTACGGCAAGATATTAGAGGCCCTAGGCCTCTTGAGCAATGGTGAAGTCGTTATTAAAAACCCATCAGACTTTGTCGGCGCGCACCTTGGTCAATCCGAGAAGAATACCAAAGCTATTCTCGAGTCTACGAAAGGGAAGGTTCTTATTATCGATGAAGCCTACATGCTTGCTGGTGGGAGTTCAGATTCAGGGGGCACCAGCGATCCGTATAAGACGGCAGTCGTGGATACCATCGTTGCCGAAGTCCAAAGTACCGCACTCGAAGATAGATGTGTCTTGCTACTCGGTTACAAGGAGATGATGGAGGATATGTTCCAAAAGGTCAATCCGGGTTTAGCACGACGGTTCCCCATGTCTTCCGGTTTCAACTTCGAAGACTATGATGATGGTGAACTTCGGCAGATCCTCGATCTTAAATTGAAACAACAGGGATTCAGGGCCGGAGAACCTGCAAAGAGGGTTGTTAGCGACGTCCTCCGACGTGCGCGTAATAGACCCAACTTTGGCAATGCCGGCGAAGTCGACATCATCCTCGATCGGGCTAAAGATAGTCAACAGAAACGTCTGTCGATGTCCCCTCAAAAGAAGAACACCGACGTCCTAATCCCTGAGGATATCGACCCCGAGTTCGACAGAAGCGAGCGTGCCGGAACTAATATCCGCATGCTTTTCAAAGATGTTATTGGATGCGAAGAAATCGTCGAGCAATTAGAAGGCTACCAGCAAGTCGTCCAGAACATGAAAGCTATGGATATGGATCCCTGTTCGCAAATCCCCTTCGGGTTTCTCTTTCGTGGACCACCAGGTAATCATCTTCCCCGGCTTGTATTAACTATTTCTAATCCATGATAGGAACCGGTAAGACCACGACGGCGAGAAGGATGGGTAAGGTATACTATGATATGGGGTTCCTCGCGGATGCTACTGTAGTGGACTGCTCGGCGACAGATCTAATAGGCCAATACGTTGGCCATACCGGGCCCAAAGTCCAGAAGAAGTTCGACGAAGCCCTGGGAAGAATACTCTTCATCGATGAGGCCTATAGGCTTGCCGAAGGTCACTTTGCCAAGGAAGCAATGGACGAGATTGTCGATTGTCTGACCAAGGAACGTTACCACAATAAACTTGTAGTTAGTAAGTATAATCCCAGAGTGCTTATCTTTGTCGTACCAATTTCCAAATTACATCCTCGAAGACAAGTTTCAATATTACGACACTATGGAATATAAACTACAGCTCAGGGCTACTTCTAATACCGTTATGAATTATAATTGCTGACTCTAAACACTATAGTTCTCGCGGGCTACGACAATGATATTAATCGACTGATGAACCAGAACCCCGGCTTGACCAGCAGATTCCCAGAGACAATCTCCTTCCCTAACCTTCCGCCACGCCACTGCCGGGACCTTCTGTTGCAATGCCTACAGAAAAAGAAGCTAAACACAAGTGATCTAGAGGCATCGCCTACACTAGACGGCAAACTATTGAGTCTATTCGGCACACTTGCGCAGACACCATCCTGGGGTAACGCTCGCGACGTACAGACACTCGTCAAGTCCATCTTCTCCAAGATCATGAAGTCGAAAACGCCTAATCCCAGTCGCATGGTACCCGAGGACACCGTCATAGACGTCATCAAAACCATGCTCGACGAACGCACCAAGCGGGCCAATACCGCTCCCACCGACCCCTTCCCATTCCCCTCCCTTCCCCTCCAGCAAGCCTTCCAGGACCCTCCACCCCCGCCAAAGATCTCAACCGCGACCGCAATAGACACAGCCCCGCCCCCAGAGAAAAAAGACGAAGAACCCCCCAAGAAAGACAAGGACGGCCCAAGCGGCCCCTCGAACGGCCAAGCCAGCATCCGCGACGCCGGCGTCTCCGACGCAGTATGGGAGCAGCTGCAGCGCGACAAAGCCGCCTTCGAGCAGCGGCAGCAAGACCTCGCCAAAGCCAAGCGCGAAGCCGAGGAACTCGAGCGGCAGCTGCGCTTGCAAGCCGAAGCAGCCCAGCGCGAGAAAGACGAGGCGAAGCGCCGCGAGGAACTGCGGAAACTAGAGGAGGCGCGTGTAAGGCACGAGCTGGCGGAACGGGCACGCCGGGAACAAGAAGAGAGGGTGAAGAAGGAGAAGGCGATGCAGGAGAAGCTTAAGAGGTCGGGGAGGTGTCCGGTGGGCTATAACTGGATCCCGCAGGGCGATGGGTATAGGTGTGCGGGAGGCTCGCATTTTATGTCGAATAGGCAGTTGGGGATTTAAGTTGAGTGAAAGGGACGGTGTTTAGGGGGTGTGTGAGTTAGGAGAGTGTGTTGTAGGAGTGCTTTGGGATGACCCATATTTTGAGGGACAGGAGGTGCCCGACATAGTCATATCTAGTTGGATATATGGATATGATGATGGATTATGTATGGACATTTGACATTTGGGAATTGCATGCCCCTAAGTTGGTACGTCAGAAGAATAGGCTCATGATGCATGTGAGCTTTCCTATTCCTACGGTCATGGTAGAAGGCAGATATTATAATACAGTATGAAAGCATCTATACGTTATAAACAGCTGCCTAACTGGATCTTAAAGTGAAGAGAGAGAAAACCTATGTCCAAGTCCTGTCACTGTCAGTGTAATTTAGCAGGAGAACTAAGAACTTCTTGTTAGTTCCAGTTATTACTTGGTAACTCTCTGAGCCATGCAGGATGAAAACCCCTTATAGAATAAAGAGTAGAAACGAGGGCTATTATTGGAACATTGTCCAGTTCGCCTACTAACTATGTAGGGTCCTGTAGCAGCTTTAATTCAACCGTAAAGGCTTTCAAATCTTGAAATTTCTCCGCGATACCATGTACCAACATGTTTCAAGAGTCTTTAGTCTTGGTAGCAACGTTGACTACTTTAACATCTAACTCGGATAAGTCATTTTTCAGGGTCTCGTCAATGTTACTGTAAACTTAAGGGAAGAAAAGGGAAGTCTGTCAAGATGCCTCTTGTCTCAATTTGACTTGTCGATTCACGCTTGATATACAGGAGTAACGTATAAGAATATTTATCTATTAGTTATACGATGACCCTTAACTTTCTCACATCTCATTAGTTATAACTTAACAAATTTTATATCTTTGGGGGAGGAATTCCATATTCACGATAATAGGTAGATTTGGCCGAGGCAATTACCGTACCCACCCTCAACTAAGCAATTATAGTTAGTATATCAATCACAACCCCTCAAAAGACTTCAAGTAAACGAAGCCTAGACAATCTAAAATACCAATAGTGTATTATTCACTGCATAATCCTGTAGTAGTTCTAACAGTATAATAGAGCGACATAGAAAAGCCTAATTCAGTAAAAGTGCCTCTTCTACCTATGAGACTCTAGCCTTACTAGAAAATATTTTATAGTATTCTAGCATACTTAAATAACCCGTGGATCGTATACATAGAATGGTAATACTCTAATGGAAGTTTATCGTGAACGTGACAGACAAACGTGAGTAACCCAAATGGAGAGTCATGGGGCCTTACACCAACACCATCAACAGCATCCGGCACTATAATAAAGCGCAAAGAATTATGGTCTCCAACTCGGGGTCCCACTCAGGCATCAAATGAAGGTATTGCAAAGGTTCGATAATGGATATTTTACACGTATGATGCTGCAGAGGAAGTCAGGCATGTCGCCAATAACGCCTGATTTCTTAAAGCAAGCCAGTGCTGGCCAACGCTCAGCGAGTTTGATAGGTCAGAATGGTAGACAAAGGCCGTGGAGAGCCCCAGAAGGAACCGGCCGATGCATTCAGGGATCCAAGATTGCATGTTAGGTTTTTAACCCTGACATTTCCTGCCTGGATCTTCATCGAATGTATGTGTAAAATTGAGAGGAACTCATCACGATTGTTTTTCGATATATATAAGGTATATATATATATATATGTATTCCTCGAATAGGGCAACATGGTTACTTAAATTCTCCGAATAACAAATGACAGGAAGAGAAAGTTATTACAGCACGTGAAAATCGAGATCGCGCGACCCCTTAAAAAAAGACGGACCCACAAGAACCCTGCGCACAGACATCATCCCTTGCTCTAGAACCAGCATCTAGACCAATCATATCTCGCCATACGAAAATCCCTCCACCTTTTTTGCCAGTTATCGCCAGTTATCGTCATCACCGCCCATTACCAATCGCGTGAACCCATTTGTCGACCTGGGGTCAGTAAATAATAGAAGAAAAAAAAGAGAGAAAGAGTTGCACACCACCACCATCAAAGCCCAGTAGTAAACTTGTCTTTGTCTTTCCTCCCACAAACCAGTCAACGTGTTATATTTTCCCATCTATTCCATTCACCTAACTACACATAACGACAACTATCTGTTATCGCATACCATAGGCCGACGCCGTGTTATGTTCACATTTGCTCTATCGTCCCTTCGCCACCGTTAGCGTCTCCGTACCTGTCACTTCCGGCTTTCTCAATCAAAGTACATAGCTTTAGGGGTCTAGCGGTGACCGGATTCTCTCAGCGAACACGAGCCCAGCCCAGCTCAGCTCAGCTCTTTCCTTCTGCGATCGATATTTACTTTCACGACATAGCTTCGGTGTCGCACCATCACATACATCCCTTCTACTGCCTAGAGAAGGCTAGTCCGGACAAAATACACATACACACGATCAATCATGGACCGAGGTAGTGATTCCGCGTTATTTGACGCCTTACAAGGTACGTAGCTCATTCACCGCGTTTCACGTTCCTTCAGAATAACCTCATCTCCATCCATTCATTCATTCCATTTCCCCCTCTTCCATTCTTATCCGTGCTATTTAACATACCTACCATACTCCACATCTTCATCTCCTAAATATCTACCCGAACAAGCCGCTAACCCCTCCTCCTCCACAGGCATCTTGCCCGAGCAGACCCTCACCCTCATCCAAGCCCACATGCAGGACCCACAGACCGCCCTCCGAGCCATATGGCAACAAACCACTACCCTCACACAAAAAGCAACCGCAACACTCTCTCCCGTTCTCGCGCCCCTCGTCCAGCGCGGCATGCAAGCCCTACACGACTCGCCCGACCTAGTCGTCCTCGCCTTCGTGCTAGCCGCTTTCGTGCTTGTCATCCAGGTGATATCGTTCGTACACCGCACCATGATGTACGTGACGCGTTTAGCATTCCGGCTCATGGGCTGGGCTCTATTCTTTGCCCTGCTAGCCTTCGTCTGTCGTCGGGGCCCTGAAGCCACAATCCGGGACGTAGTTGTCTTTGTTAGCAAGCTGGCTGGCTACGCGTCCCTCGTCAAGGATATCTGGTGGTCCGAATACCAGAAGTTCGATGCTCAGACCAAGCGCGGTGGAGCCCCTGCTGGGACTAGGGGAGCACCTTCAGGAGGTTACACCAGGTCGAGCAATAGTGCTTGGTGATGGTTTGGGACTGGGTTAGTGCTACGCGCGTGACTGAAAATAAAAAGGGGTTAGGGCATCTCGTCGTTTAATGTCTTATCACGGCTTGGGAATGAGTTATGACTATGAATTGCTTTTTTTTCTTTTTTTGTACAGAATGAATAAACAGCATGACAGTATGTGCCAAATATACTCGAATTTTTGGTATCTGAGTTGCCTCAAGCCAGTAACGCCGTCGCTATGCAATTACATGTGTCCAACGTTGCCCTTCGTGATTAATCCTTATGCCGTATTCCTTTTTATATTATACTTAGGCAAATCCTTTTTATCCGCCGCTAAGAAATCACCCATCAATACCATCATCCATATTGTCAAACTCATCATCCTTTAATTCCTTCGGCTCTTGAGCTTCGTGATACTGGATGCAGTCGTCGATATAGCTGAGAATGGCCCCGACGCTGTCCTCATCTTGCACATCTAGCTTTAGGTAACTAACCATGCTAAAATTCTCGATTAGGTTTGCGACTGCCCGGTTGAGCTGTCGAAAGCTTGAACCTCGCATGACGGCATCCTTGTCCTGGGGGTTGGCCGCCTCGTCCTCCTCTTCTGTCACGCCCTCTGCCTTTCGCCGAGCAATCTCGTCTGGATCATCGTCCAGTAGACCAGTATCTGGCGTGAGGAATCGTTTCATATCTTTCTTGCGGACCTGATCTTTCACAAGATCCATTTTTGACAGAATATTGATATGAGGAACCTCTAACATGATCATAGCACTCATGGCGCTCAGAGTACCAGCAAAGAACTTGGCTCTATCCACGATAAAAGTAGCTTCTAAGAGATAGGCAGCACAGAGCCGAATGTCAAGAGAGCCGGATCGTGTCAAAAATCGGACGAGGGCGGGTAAGATAGGAACGTGGGTATAGAGCTCGATTTGACCGGGCATGTCAAAAATGATTAGGTACTCCTCAGTGAGGGAGTCTAACGCCTCCGTTAGGAAATCGAGGTTTTCCATGAGGAATTCGAAACAGTAGATAAGACCGCCATTTGGACCAAGGCCCATCTCCTCCATGACATCTTGGAGCGATATTAGTTCCTTGATGTCTAGATCCGGCGTGTGTTCGAAGGACTCGGCGGCAGGATCGAGGTTGACGTAGAAACACGAGCGACGGTTAAGTTGCAGGTGGGTTATGAGGGAGGCGCAAAAGGTAGACTTTGGACGGCAACGTTAACATTAATCCATCATTTGAACCCCAGATAACACAAAGCTTCAGCAAGCATCTCAACAAGCTCGATAAGCTTCGTAATGGTAAAGGGAAGGTTACAAGTAGCGCAAAGAAGAGACCATCACATACCTTGCCAGCCCCGGCAGGGCCCATTACCATAACCCCGAACTTACTCATGATGTATTATCAAGATTTGCTTAATATCTAGATGAGACGATTACGTCGTATCCTGGGCGGATTCGGTTGATCGAATAAAGAAATAATGGAATGCCTGGTAGGACTGGACCTAGTAAGTGTTCAGCCTCGTCTTGACCGTGGCGTACATAGTAAACACTCAGCGCCAGTCGAGGAATTTTTCTTAGATGGTGGGGTAAAAGCGATTAGGTACTGCATGTCGCAAGGTTAAGACGGTGGAGGGGCAAGGGTCTGAATCAATAATTGAAGGGTCCAAAATGTAGAGTGGGGCTAAGCTGACCAAGTTATCTCGTAAGCTTCCTCTCTTACTGCATAAAGAATGGGACGAATAGCCTTGCAAGTATACACAAGTATCACGTTTAGCTTTAGAGACAATAGATATTTGATAGACATTTGATAAACATTTGATAGGCATTGTCTATGGCTACTACGGTACCTGAAGCTAGGTATTCTCTCACAGCCTTGACGGAATTCGACTCTGAAATTCCGGAATATGGGCCGCTCCGATGCCAGTGGAATTTACCGTTTCCCGGCAAAATGTTCCACCCTGTACCGTGCTGAGATGCTACGCTCCCCGAGATGCTATAGGAATATAAGGTGGGATATGTATATGTAATACATGTAAGCAAGTTTGTAAGGCCACCGGTTACGGACCTTGCTTCTGAGGTACGAGAATCTAAAGTACGAGAGATAAAGCGAAGGAGGGCTGAGAATCCTTTGCTTAGTAAAGTCGACTTAGTGCTCTACATAGCACGCAATAGCTGCAAGGGCAGTTATTGGATATATGATGAGCCGGGCTGTAATTATATGAATATAAACCTTGCCGGCCGAACACCGAAAGTGTTCGACCGATGTTTTGTCGCAGAGACCTTTGAGACTCGAAGACAGGTGCCGAAGTTTGAGCCCCTGTCAAACGGTGGACCTAGTGCACGTTTTCGAGAGGGGCAGACGTGGCAGCCAAGGGTTCCGAAATGGATCAATGGTAGGTAATGGATAATTGAGAATGAGCTTCAGTCTATGGAACTGCCCCGCGTAGTACATGCGTTCATTGCGTTCATAGGGATGCGGTAAGACCTCAAGGACGGAGGTTACGGAAGTCGGAAAAAGACCTGGATGGCTCTTACACATCTTATCAGTTGTCAGATATTAGACTGAGAGTTACCTAGGTACCTAACAGCCTGTTGCTTTAGGTACATACCTAAGAGCTCATACCTAAGGTACCTAGATAACCTAATAACTGCTACTTATTACTAGCTCACCTACGAAGGCTCTTAGCTTTAGCTCTGTCAAATTTAAAGGAATATTCCTCCGTTACTACGAAATCCAAGTATATGCTGACAGGATGCGAGCGAACGGCACAAAAGCCTTACAGGTTGAAGCTTACCTATGTATAACACCCGTTCTATACTCGACGGTCTACTCGGGTAAAGATCGTTTCCAAACCTGACGTAGATACTGCGTGTGCTCGGGACCGCAAAGAGTGTGTGTTGGAAGATAAGCCTGCACGCCGGCATGGAGAAATGTAAAAGTTATTGATATCCGATAAGATGGTTACTTTCACGTTATTCTAGACGTGTTAGGTTAGGTGCCCAGTTAAATCAAATAGAATATCAACTTACCTTACCAAATGGAGTTACTTTACGTGATCTAGATAATATTTATTAGTGAAGTTACTCCGAGTCTTCCTGCGTGTTTGTAGTGCTTGTAGTGCTTGTAAGTGCAAGTATACATAATATCTGCGCCCCTCTTACTCCTTCTGAGAAAATTCCTTCGGCTTGCCCCACTCAGGTACTCTTTCCTTCCTACCAGCAGTTAGTCCAGACACCACGATCCACGGCTCAGGGACAAGAGCGAGCCGCTAGTGCTAGGTTTGGTTAACCCACTAACTTCCACGTAGCTTACCATACCAGCCATAGTGTAAAAGTACCTCTTAACATAATCTACCTACCCATACAGTCGGCATATAGTGCAAGCGACAAAGCGACGGAAATTGCGCCATTCGAGTTGTTATTTTCAGTTCCTGCCCCTCCGATTTTTTTCTCTCGGCCAATTAAAACCCCCAAAGGAAAAACTCCCGCTTTCTGCTCTTCCCTTCATAAACCTCTCCTTCCCCCCTCATCCAACCCAACTTTTTATTTCTTCCGAGAGACACTCTTGGGCTACGCATTTTCTTTGGGTGCATAGAATTAATCAACTTGTACTTTCCTATTTCACACTCTACCGTCACAATGCCTGCTACCAACGGCCATGCTAGCTCCTTGAGCACCCCTCGAAACCCCGGGGCTTTTCTCTTCACCGTAAGTATGGATTACATGGCATTTCCTCCTCATCGTTAGCAAGTTCGAGGACAGCAAACTGATTAATTGTAGTCCGAGTCCGTCGGTGAAGGCCACCCCGACAAGATCTGTGATCAGGTCTCCGATGCTATTCTAGACGCCTGCTTGGCGCAAGACCCCCTCTCTAAGGTCGCCTGTGAGTCGGCTACCAAGACCGGTATGATCATGGTATTTGGTGAGATTACGACCAAGGCCACCATCGACTACCAATCCGTCATCCGAAATGCCATTAAGGAGATCGGATATGACTCCTCCGAGAAGGGCTTCGACTACAAGACCTGCAACGTCCTCGTTGCCATTGAGCAACAGTCCCCCGATATCGCTCAGGGTCTTCACTACGAGAAGGCCCTCGAGGAGTTGGGCGCTGGTGACCAAGGTCTCATGTTCGGCTATGCCACCAACGAAACCCCCGAACTGCACCCTCTCTCCCACCTTCTCGCCCACAAGCTGAACAAGGCTATGTCTGACGCTCGCCGGGACGGAACTCTCCCCTGGCTCCGACCTGACACCAAGACCCAAATCACCATGGAGTACAAGCACGATGGCGGCGCTGTCGTTCCCCTAAGAGTCCACACCGTCGTCATCTCTGCTCAACACAGTGGCGATGTCAACACGGAACAGGTCCGAAAGGAGCTGAAGTCCAAGATCATCGACACTGTCATCCCCAAGCAGTACATTGATGACGAGACTATCCTCCACGTAAGTCTTAAAACCCTAATCCGTCCATCCCGGCTGTAGTCTTCGATTCTATGTACGCAATACTAACAATTATTATAGCTCCAACCTAGTGGTCTTTTCATCATTGGTGGCCCTCAGGGTGACGCCGGTGTTACCGGCCGAAAGATCATCGTCGACACCTACGGTGGATGGGGTGCCCACGGTGGTGGTGCTTTCTCCGGCAAGGACTTCTCCAAGGTCGACAGATCTGCTGCCTACCTTGCTCGATGGGTTGCTAAGTCTCTCGTCGCTGCCGGCCTCGCTAAGCGAGCGCTGGTCCAACTCAGTTACGCTATTGGTGTAGCTGAGCCCTGCTCTATCTACGTCGACTCCTACGGCACCTCTGACAAGACTGCCGAGGAATTAGTCGACATCGTCAAGGCTAACTTTGACCTCCGACCTGGCGCTATCGCCAAGGAACTTAACCTAGTCCGCCCCATCTACAACCAAACAGCCAAGTTCGGTCACTTCGGTACCAACCAGGAATTCACCTGGGAGCAGCCCAAGGCGCTCAAGTTTTAAGCTAATGAATTGTAGAGTTCCGCTGGGGGGATCTTGTCACATTTATAGTAGCGGAAGAATCAACTTCTTTCTGCATTGCGACTGGCGTTGTTTGGTGTGTTATCTAGAAGACATAGGATTCCCTCATCGGAAAATGTCATGAAAATTTTGGGCATGGCAGCATGGCGTACGGTTTCAACATACCTGGTTTGGGCAAAGGCACAGATAAAGTGGCATCTATGGGGTCACCGGTCTGGTAAAGGCGGATAAATACCTTAAACATCCGCATTGCATTTATTCAACACGGCAATACGTCCAAAGGGACAAAAATAAAGATACCAATTTGTCGTACCTCTACCTCTACCGATATTCGAATTTTGTGAATATTTATTATTTGGTGACGATAATCTGTACTTTGTGCTCTCGTTGTAGAGTTGACGGGACGTCGAATTCCGTCTGTTTAGGAGCAGCATGTCCATCACTACAGTCGCTACTTCGATGGTTCGACGTGACCGTTGTCTGTAGAAAACCTTACCATCTTATTCTTATAATAATAGGTGACACGGTATTGTTATGTCTATCCCCCAGCCGCCACTGTTCTCTTTCTACATTGCGCTTATGACCGCACTTTCTCCGTGGCGACCATCCTCCTCTAACTTATTTTCTCGCTAATGCTGTTTGGTTGCCATCCTCTCTTCTACTACCGCCGCTACTAATGTTGTTGCTAGGGTAATCTTCTCTCATATCTACATCTCCTTCGCGATCAAAGCAGTCGGCTGAATAAAAGGAGAGTGTTGGCGAAGAAGGCGATGGAGGATACCGCTGTGCGGGCAGTAGTGTGAGGAGGGCTAAGAAATCGTCTTGGAAGCGGCTGGTACGTGGCGGGGAGGGCGGTGATGAGATGTTGTGGTTTATGTCGTTGGTGGTAGTAATGGTGGTGGTTGCTTTGAGTATGGGGCTGTTATTTGATGGGGATGAAGAATGTTCCGGTTGCTGGGAGAGATCTGGTCCGAGTGCATCTCCTATTATAGGTCCCTCTGATATGTGGTGTTTAAACGGCACCTCAATGACGGCGTCGAGGACACGGATTCTGAAGATGGGGGTTGAGGGTGGTGATGATGCTTCCTTGGTTTTCATGGCTTGATATTCTTCGTTTGAAATTGAATATGAAGCTTGTTCTAGGAACGGTGATTGGTAGTTGATATTCGTGATAGACAAACACTCCCAGAGGTATTAGGCTGTATTAGAGAAGTAGGGATTTAAAAAAAAAAAAAAAAAAAAAAAAAGCATGGAGATGTCAAGCAACTAACTTATAGGAATGGGACCAACAAATCCACGGTTATACAGACTATAGTTACCTAGTACTCTTTACGTCTGGGTCAGGAACACTCATACTATTCTCCTTAACTGATGTATTTAAAATCGGCTATATCCATGTATATATCACCATACGGCTCCTTACACAAAGCCTCCTTAGCTTGCTCGGAAATCTATCCGAGTAACGCTAGAGAGTACTAGAAACGGACCCGATCGATCCCTCCGCATAAGACATCGCGAGCTATACGGCCGTCGCGTATACGTACAAGTAGAATACGGACGAATAACAGAGTCGCTCCGCCGCAGCCACATATACCACACCACATAAGCCTAAGATCGACGTAGCGAGGGTGAAAATACACGAGAAGAGATGGCTTGACAGCCAGTACTACATTATGTGGATATGAAAGAGAAAATAACTAAATCTAGCCAGTTATCAAGATTCTAAAAGCACCATGTCACCCATCGCCCCGAGCACCTTGGTCTTTGGTGGACATACTACGTGCTCTTCTTCGTAGCCCTATCGGGTTTAGACTACGGTTAGGTTAGGTGCGAGCCGCGGCGTCTGCACGCTTAATCGAAAGCGAGCAATACGAAATACGACGCAACCAACCGGCCGGGTCCACGGTTGGCTACCTACCTAATATCCAGCATCCCGGGACCTATCACTCCTTTTATGAACAAATATAGACCTTATTTTAATAAGATCCAAAAATTACATTAGCTAGGATTAGGTAGCTATTAGGGAAAACAAGCACATCAAACTAGTCAAAAACACTGTTTATACACTTGAGACACATGCTCTAGTAGAATACGATTTGTCTCCGTCCCGCAGCCGAACGGTACGCTCTTCATACACAAACTCCTCGAATCTTCGACAGAGGTAATGACCCTAATTCCCAATTCTATATACATACCAGGTATATAGACATACACATCCCTACCCTTTCCACGTACAACACCAAAACGCCATCCGCTCCACCTGCATGTATAGCCTAACCTGAGGGAATAGCCAGTATTTCAAGACATCTGAGCCTGGAAAGCACCGTGTGAGCTATATCCTGCGTAGCATATTTTAGGATGGGACAAAATAAAATGGGTGGATTAATCATCCTCTATGTCATCGTCGCTTAAAACCAATTTCTGTATGGAAGGTATCGCCGCGGTAGAAAGGGAAGGCACATCACTCTTTTGCCGTATGCCAAAGGCGATGCTCTTCTTTCGTGGTGATGATTCTTCGGTGGGCTTGTCAGTTGCCCATGCTTCTCCCGCCTGCTCCACATTATCATCTCTGTCGAGGGCGTCATCGTCCGCTGCTTCTCCAATCCCGGAAAACGAGGTCACCTTTTCAATTTCCTTCAACCGAACGTTACCTACTGCGCTTCTACGTCCCCGTGCTATGTGGGCCATATATGGCAGTCGTTCCAGTAACAATTCCGTACGAGCTGAGTTCCCAAGGAAGAGTAACGGGGCTGTCTGTTGATCCTGGCTCTGTTCGGCCTTTTTGGCTTGTTGGCTGTTATTGAGTTGTATAGAAGCTTGGTGTTTACTGATCCAATCTCCACCGCCGCTTGCTGCTGACTTGGGCCGTCTAAATGCAGAAGCACCTTGAGTGAGATTCTGACCAGTCTCATCCCCTTTTAGCAATCTTGATGCCCAGTGGTCTACGACTCCTTCAATTTCTTCCTTCTCTCGCCATAGTTTGAGGCTTGTAGGATAGAACATCTTGTAAGCATCACTACCACCGCGCCCGGAGGTTTTCGCGATTCGCTTCACCGGATTTGGTAGAGAGAATAGTAATCCTCTGGTCGCGACCTGAAAAGTAATCTCATCTTGTTTTAGCACATGGCTAGCCGAATCTCGTCCCGAGAATGTCGAAGCGCCAAACCCTCGGCCCCGGAAGAAGATGTCCCAAGATGGGGAGAGTAGATCGCTCTCGGAAAGGAACTCGATGCAATTGTTTATGTAGTCAAGTGGGGAATTTGGATCGGAAGGCCCACTAGGTTCACAGGACAGGGCGTAGTTCTCGTGAAGCGCTGAAATAAATGTGTGCGTATCAGTCCCAGTCTCATCAATGAGGCTATCGACGGAGACCTCGGACCGTTTTGGCCTAGAATGATGAGCTATAAAGTCAGGTAATATTTCGGCCTGACCCTCGAGAGTTTGCTGGCTCATCGGGCGCTCATCTCTTCTGTTGTATACTACCTTTCCGACAGCATGAAATATTCCTAAACTTGCTTCGCGTTGCGAGACAAGCTCTAGACTTTCCACCTCACCTTTAGTCAAGGATACTTCATTCTTAGATCCGCGTTTGGGTTTTGTGAAGGCTACCTTTGAGCCCCAGTCCGCATCGTCATCACCTTTGAGGCAAAGAAACTCGAGTGAGGAGATTGCGCTTCTTATATCCCCTATTTCGCCCAGCCTCTTTAGAACAAGTGGGCCCGGCGTCCGACGCCGTCCAGACTTCCGCGCCTCTTTCTGTACGATTAACTCGAGCGCGCTTGCAAGGAGAGTAGGCGCAATAGCGTTAAACTCTATAATGCAAGAGCCCGGATGTCGAGTGATTTCAGGCCCCAGCAAGCGATAGGCCGTAAAGCTATCCGCAGACGCCGAGGTAGTAGTAAGTAGAGTCTCTGATATGATCATAACGATAGGCGTGATGGGATCTATGGAAGTTGGCCGGCCGTAAGTAGCGAGAGATGGCGTATTAGCGGCCAGGTACTGCAAAATAGTATTTCGAAAGGTCGTCAAAGCCGTTGACGAGCGTGTAAAAGTGTTTGGGAATTCCTCAATGAGAATGATTTTCTTCGTATTATTATCATTATTATCGGGTTTGCCGAGACTCGGAGGAGTCGAGTCAAGATCAATGTCTAATTGACCGAATTTTCCACTCCTTCCCATGAATTCTTCAAACTGCGCCGAAGCTGACTGGAGCCCTTGATTTGAGCCTAAGGGGCCAACAGGGTTTCTCCATTCGAGTAGTTCACAGCGCATGTCCTTAGCAAGGAGTCGAACTGTGGTTGTCTTCCCTGTTCCGGCAGCGCCCTTCAAAATTAAAAGCCGTTGTCGCATCCGGCCGGCCATGACATCTTCAAGCCACCGGCGAACATCTGCTACTTTCCTTTTGTGAACTGCAAGCTCTTCTATATTCGTAGGGCCGAACCGTTCCGACCAGGGCCGTTGCTCATCGCCCGTAGTTGGGTCCTGTTGAGGACGGGGTGGTTTGAGGAATTTTTGACTCGATGTAATTGCCGGGCCGCTACTCGGTTGGGGCGTATCCCGAAAGCGCTTACGGGCGTTCTGCCCGACTCGACTGGTGTTTGCCGCCCTGTGTTCACCCACATCGTCATCGTCTGATATTGGATCGCTAATGATATCGTCCCTCTTAGTCGGAGACGCCGTCGGGACCCGTTGAGCCTGTCTAGAAAACATAGTCACAAGATCCGCCGTCTTCTCTTTCTCCACTCGTTTCCCTTTTGCAAATGACTGGGCCTTGGGCTTCCCCGGACTCGTACTAAAGCCCCTGAATCCATTGTTCCTTTGGTGAAGAGGCATAGAAGTCGAAGTCGAGCTCGACGGTTGAGTGGCTAGCAAGCGAGACGACTTCCTTGCAGGACCTGGCGAGGGTGTTGTAGCCCGGGAGGCATCGGTGGCAGAGGCGCACTTTTGAGTAGGCGAAGAAAGGAGATAATTGGTAAGGGTGTTAGGCTTCGACTTTGGCTCTTCTTCATCGTCTGAAGAGGCATGAACGATGTTTCGCTTCCGACGTTTTGTGGGTGGCGCCATGACGATAGGGTGGATGTGAGATGCACGGCATCTGCTAGTGGGCGTAATTGCTCACATGAAGAAGGCAAACGAATGATGAAGATTTGTAATATGATTTTTCGTTCGGCCGCGGCGATTTAAATCTTAAAACTTTAATATCTAGGAAACAACTGATTTGGTGGCCGTCATGGACAAACAGACGGCACGACTGAGTTGAAACTTAGGTACCTTCCGTCATTCCCAGCCTAATGGAACCTTTCGTCGCGGGCGGGTTGCTTATAGCGCGTCTCCCGGTAATCTAGCCCGCTGTAACTTCGATGCGCCATCATGTGATCAATTAAACCTGCGTTACGCTACATGATATGTACCTACCTCTAAGTACCTCTATTTGTTCTCACATGTAAGTCGGTCTCAGTATATTCGTGATACAGCCCAGTAATGGTTACACCTTTTTTCTTCTTAAATTATTACGTTTTAATAATCATAGTTTGCCATTATTTTATTCTAAATCATCATTACATCCTAAAATAGTCTCATGTGTGAGAAGCCTAACTATAGTTGACAATAATAACAACATGCTAGCTCAGAGATCAATTTTGTCCAAATATCCTCATAATTCATATATATTTCACAGTCCGTATTACAACGCAGATATCAAGAGACCTAATACTACGAAAAAGTCCATCCCTGGAAGTCATCGGCAAATCGGACGGCCGCAGCCAAATAACGTTCATGTACGTCCCCCCAAGTCCGAGCCGCTTCTTTAATAGCACGCAGAACTATACAGTAAGTTAGTACTTTGGTAATATGCATTCGAGTCGTTCAGAAGTCTTACCCTTGACAAAATGAGCGTCAGTAGCATAAGGTCCATTTAACGCCTTGTCCTCCACATAATTCCACTGCTTCCCAGCAACATCTTCCGGCTTGATGTAATCAGGATCAATTTTCGGGCGTAGTTCAGCGATATAGACGGCGACTGCGAATAGCCACCATTGCCTAACTAAGTTGATGCGGAATTCCGATGGGATGAATGGAAGCAGTATCCTGACGGCATGACTCGTCGTTAGCACATGGCAAAGGAAGAAGTTATATGAATGAGTTCCGGGCGGGACTGTGGCAATCAGGATAGCAACCGCAGCCTTCTGTGATTGTTCAAAGTCTTTCACCGGATCATCGAGTGTCCATGCGTTCCAGTACTCCAGAACAATATCCTCGTGCTTCTTGAATAGCGGCTCAATGTTGTCTGGTCCTGGTTCCTTGAAGACTCCGTCCAGACGATTATCACTCCTTAGTTTTAGTAGTAGTTCCAAGGGTGAAGAAGGCTTGATCGAAGATGGCTTCGAATACGAAGCATCGTCAATGTACTTATGAAGGAAGTTGTATTGCGTAGCCGCCATGCCAAGGGCCTCCATGGCAACTTCGCGACTATCTACTTCATAAGCATATCCTAGGTGAATGAGAGGATGCCCAACTAATATAGGTCAGTTTATACCTATACAAAGTTTTAGGGGTTGAACGTACGGCCTCCGATGAGACAGTTTATTAAGGGCTCCTTGCCCCCATATATGTACTCTTCCACTACACCTTTCCACTGGTAGTTGTGCCTCAATGCTAGAGAATCCTCGAAGAAATCGACATATGCACGCTGGTACTCCGGTTCTCCGAGAAAGTCTCTCCAGTCCTCCTGGGCTATTTCAGCTGGCGATTCTTTCCACGACTCAAGATCTTGTGCCTCCACATCGTAGATCTTATGCAATTGCTGAACATCTGCTCCAAGGATATAAGCAGACCCAAGGATATGAGGTAGATGGTTATGAAATTGTAAATTGTGGTAGAGAATGGAATGATTAACGTGGTTAGCCCTCAATAGGTGCTTAAGGGTTCTTGGTCGTTTCTCAGGTGCCGTCTCCACATTGTGAACCTCAACAGGTGGGATGTCAATGGTCCGAGTCCGACCTGTATTAGAGACGAGTCGATTCACAATGGGAACGTAAGAAAGTATAGAAGCCATCTTTGGTCTTAAATTAGAGCATCACGATAATCAACTGTCTGAAGGTTAAAGTGGTTGAAATTGAAGTGACGTAACAATCGAAAGTGCCACCCGCGTGATCCAAAGACGCTATTATATGTGGATATGCATTTAAATGAAAGGTAGTGAATTCAGATATCGCATTGAAGAGAAGTATTATACAATTAAGGGGTGTCTTAAGTGAGGCTAAAATGCTTTAGCTGAATATTGCACTAAAGAAAAAGTACAAGACATTGTTGTCCACAGTCATCTTTACATAAGGTAATGTTGGTCTGTGCATCGCCGAAATACTACAAAATGTATCGCGTCCAACCATCTTTTCGGGTTTCAACCATTTCCCCATATGCAACATGAATGAATCACGTCCAGTTCTTATATACGCCGAACTTCTGTCGCGTATACAAGGGGTATCTGTCGGATGCGAGCTGTATACACCAAGCTCACCTGATACTAAAGCCACCGTCTCATCTGATGGTTGGTACTTCACAATTCACCACGATGGCATACAGACCTCTATACGTCTCCCTGGACAGGTTGTCTCAGTTAAGGAACTACCAATACAGAGTATTGGCAAGAAACATATCTCCTGTCGATTGCCTCTTGCCTCAAGTCTAGAGCGCCATGCCTTTTCCACACCAGGAGAACAAACAGTCCCGTGGTCCGCGACTGATCTTCAACCAGAATCACACATTACGTGTCGAAGATGCCACGCTACCATTGTTGAGCCCGGTGTAATCAAAGTATGGAAAGATTTGCCTAGCGAGAACTGGGCTGAAATGATGGAATTCTGGCATTGCCATAAACCTCATGATCACGGACACAAACATGATGATGGTCTTGCTTCTAAAGCGTATGGTGCGAATTCTAGGATATCCGCCCAAGCAGGTGTCGGTTTTGTGGATCTCTCTTCCTTTCTACTATCAGAGACGGATATTTCTACGTCAGTCGTAAGTATTTTCTTTTTTATTAACTGTTTGAAATGGGTATATAGAAGGTGGCCAGGCCGGCATTTTTGCTCCCCAGTGGCATGGTCACCGATACTCTTACCCTAGAATAACATACTTTCCTATCCTGATATGTCAGTGCCGAATCCGAGGTCTCGCCCTAGGGATTTGGCATTAATGTATTAGGGGATCCCTCTGTTTTTCACCAGGAATTTCCTTGGAAGTGTAAATTCCGGGATTAACTAGAGGTACATCTCTTGCGCTTCTTAGCTAGATATTAAATATTTTCATCAAGTATCTCCTCAGAAGTTTTGCTAATGCAAGCTTTAGATAACAAAAGTTCCATCCTTATTAGAGTCCCGCAATGAATCAGAATACCGTGATGAGACATCTGACAATGGACAACCGCACAATTTGCAACCAGAAAACATATCCATTTCCTGTGTATCATGTAAGAATCAGTTAGGAATCCTGAATGAACAGGGAGCCGCCATTACTCTGTTCAAGTGGCAGGTCTACGTGGATGAGCAGATCCCACGAGGCCCTGATAACTCGCCCAATCTGTTCCACTGGGTCAGCTCTATTCTACTTGCGACGATAGCCCGCTCCGGCTGTTCAAAATCCATCTTGCTGCCAATGAAACTGAAAGACCAGCCAGCGCAGGATGTTTCCCAAGTAAACGATACATCCCAGTCTCTATTAAATATCTGGGTATTCAACAACATCTCCTTCTCGTCCACAGAGGAGGGAAGGTCACCGATTAAGGCTATAAAGGTGTTTTATCGCATGGTTAATCAAGGTGAAGCAGACAAATTACTCGACTCTATGATGTCAGATGTACAAGACATTACCCTACCGGCCGAGGTAATCGAAAAGGTAAAGGACATCCTAAACAATAACAACTTCCTATTACCCCAGAGTGATCGACAATTCAAGGAATGGAAAGTTAGTCTTCTAGAGAAGTGGGAAGGGAAAGACGGGTGAATACAACCTAGGTAGTGGCTGAGCTATGTAAGCTACCGTCTAGTTACACGGCATGTATCCTCATATAAGGTATTCGTCATAATCCAAGTCCCACAGCTACGATCTCAGCAAGCTATAGGGAGCAATCTGATGAGTCTACTTGGCGGTGGCTCATTTGTGTACGGGGATTTATTTACGCTTATCCCGTGCAAGAGACGGCGTTAAGAACCTAAGTGATGTGAACAAAAGAAACTCAGAACGTAGGGCTAATTCTTAAATTAGGTTAGGAGTAGTTTAGATCTTAAACAACTGACCATGTTCACTAATATTCATTTACACGAGAGCAGGTGATTCTTCCATTATCGTAATCTATGTTCAAATATTTTCTAAGCTCCCACATCATGCCGGTATGCAGGACTACCATATTAGGTGTCACAAAACGTTGCAGAGCCAGTATTGGAAGGATAGTTTCTTTTTGACTAATGCACAAGGTGTTTATAAACACAGGAGGACAAAAGAGATTTTTGTCTGCGCCATGGAGTATCTGTCTAAACTGACTTGTCTATTGAGCCTTGGAGGACACAATTCCTGGACACTTGTTAGCTTGTGCTATAAGACCGGCAGTAACAACACTTACTCTCTACGTCGGCAACGCTTTGTTGCAGGATTTGTTGAAGAGCCTTAGGGTTCTCGAGCTCCTTCTTCACCTTGGCAATAATCGACTGGGCCAGTTCCCTCTGCTGGCGCTGCTTGACCTGGCTTTCGTATCGTACCCACGAATCCAAAACTGATTTAGCCTCGGCCGCCAGAGCAGTAGACTGCTCGAGCTCATACGCTTTAGCCTCGAGCTTAGCGGTCTCCTTGGAAACCTCGAAGAGAGCCTTGGTGATGTCGACAACACCTCCCATCTGCTGAACGTTCTCGATGCGGTTCTTGACGGCCTTGGTGTGGTCGGCACGCGCGGCGTTCAAGATGTTCTTGATCTTCTCGTTCTGTGCCTCGGCCCATTGCGTGTACATGGGACCACCATACTTGATCAAAGCACCCCAAACGCTAAGCAAGCAGAAGGCGACAATGGTTTCCTCGTTCACGACGTAGTACTCATTGCTAATGGCGTAGATAGACAGACCAGCGGCGGAGGACAGGATGGCGGTCTTGGAAACGAGCGAGTTTCCAGGTAGAGAGTCAATGATAGACTGTGCCTTGACCTTAGGGTCGGGAAGGTTGGATGCCGGTCGGGTAGCAGTCAATGCGGTGGTGACTGCGGGAAGAGTTCGCGAAGGGACCGACGGCCGTAGACGGGCGGCTCCTACAATTCGCGATAAGTTTTACATGGCCTAATTGCTAATTGGCATGCCAGTAAGGTAGCAATGCAAAAACTTACCGAAGGCACGGGTAGCCAAGCGGGAGGCCATTGCGAAATTGAATGACAAGAGAAAACGGATTCGGGGTGAGAGGAGATGGGAGTAATTATTGCTTGTCTAGAGGAGCTTCGGAATTAAAGTCGATGAGGTTTTAACGAACCGAACTTGCACTTAACCCAGTTGAACCCTCAACCCAGTTTCAACCGACTTCCGTGATTGGTCAATCAGACACGTGATTTACCCGTTCCTCCCCACTTCAAACTCGATTTTGGCACTTTTAGGTCAGCCTTGCATTTGTTCTTTCTCAAGGCTGTTAGCAATTAAACTTTTTATCATTTCCTCACTATTCACTATTTCAAACGACTGCAACGCCTAGTTATATAATCCAACTACATACCTACCTAACTACGCGAAAATGTCAGGTTCCGTTACTGAGGAGTCCTTGAAGAGGAAGCGATCGAAAGTTCCTGAAAAGGCAAATAAACGAGCCAAACCAAAGGACAGCGACGAACATGATCCCCAAGCTGAGATCTTGCAACTCGAAAACGAAATCCTGGAATCCAAGAAGAATTACAATAACATAACAATTCTTCTTGACCTCGCGCAAAAAGACGGCGACGATGATTCTACCCAGCTTGCGGTGGTATCTCTGTGCAGAGTATTTCTACGTCTGTTTGCATCAGGAAATCTAGCGAGACGGAACGGACAGTCGGAAAAAGATATCGTAGTCGTTCAATGGCTTAAAAAAAGACTCGGAGACTTCAAGCAGATCATCCTCTCAGAATTAGGTCAAGAGGACACCGCGTCTACTGCGTTGACTCTAGCTATGCGCATCTTGCAAGCTGAAGGCAAACACACGAACGACAAGGATGAATACAGCTTTCCGAAGGGCTTCCTCAGAGAAGTGGTGGAAGCACTTATCCTAAGCGAATCTGAAGAGATTAGAGAAGAATTCTGCGAGAAGTTTCTGGGAGAGTATGCGGATATACGATTTTACACGTTCAAAGCCTTGAAGTACGTAGTTGACTCCTGTTTGACATGTGTGTAGTACTAACCTATCTACAGGGATATTCTTTCTGAGGAACCTTTAATATCCTCTAGCGAAACACTATTTGATAATGTGTTCGACATATTATCCTTCTTTGAAGATGTTCCGGCTTCCGCTGAAGAAATGGGCGAGTTCTATATTGATGCGCCGAAAAAGAAGTCGCATCCCGTCGCATCCCTGAACCAACAGAAGAAACAAGCCCAAGAAGCCTGGATAGCACTGCTTGACCTAGGCCTCAACCGGGAGCAGAGGAAAAAGGTGCTTCAAATCATGACTAAGTCCATTGCTCCGTGGTTTACCAAACCAGAGCTTCTGATGGACTTCCTGACAGATTCGTATAACTCCGGAGGTGCGATTTCTCTGTTAGCTCTATCAGGAGTCTTCTATCTCATACAAGAGCGGAACCTGGACTATCCCTCGTTCTATCGGAAGTTGTACTCATTATTGGATGCAAATATCCTACATTCGAAACATCGGTCCAGGTTCTTTCGGCTGTTGGACACGTTCCTCTCTTCTACGCATCTTCCCGCCGTCCTTGTCGCAAGTTTCATCAAGCGAATTACGAGGCTGTGCCTCAGCGCCCCCCCTGCCGCTATCGTTGTGGTCATACCCTGGATTTATAATCTATTCAAAAAGCACCCGCTTTGCACGTTCATGATGCATCGCGTGCCTAGGTCACCGGAAGAGAAGGAGGCACTGGAAAATGAAGGGATGGCTGACCCGTTCATTGCTGACGAAGAAGACCCAATGGAGACTTGCGCCATTGATAGCTGCTTATGGGAGGTCGTTCAGCTGCAGTCACACTACCACCCGAACGTTGCGACTATCGCGAAAATAGTATCGGAGCAATTCACTAAGCAGTCCTACAACCTCGAGGATTTCTTAGACCATTCGTATAGCAGCGTAAGTCACATGTGCCACCGTCCCACATACTAGTTTTTGTTTTGCTTACGTATTTCTAGCTACTCGATGCGGAGTTATCCAAGCAAGTCAAAAAGGCTCCTGTTGTGGAGTTCATGATACCCAAAAAGGTGTTCCTTCCTCAGGATCTAGACTCGGGGGTAGAGGACAATCTTCTGGCGAAACTCTGGGACTTCCAATGATCGTCGCTTTGACGTCTAGGATAGTCTCGGGGCGTGCGTCACCTAAACCTAGAATTCTCGGCAGCTACCCTTCTGTTATTGCTAGGTTCGAGATTATTACGGCTATCAATCCAGGGATACTCACGCCATCGATTCGATGGAGAGCCCACCGCGGGTCGATGCCGAGGAGACGGGTTCGATCTGGCTACAAAGCCACTCACCGCCTCAACCAAACTAAATATATGTCGCCACCGTCGCGGTCCATATTCTCCGCTCGGGATCGCGAGATGTTGTTATGAATTTGCTATAGTACTTCGCGGCTTCTTGCGGCTTCGTACTACTACAGCCGTATCACTCAAGTACCTCCAGTGCAAGGTACAGGATGACAGCCTGCTGCGTACCGTTTTCGATCTTGGAATTTGCTTCGACGCGCAGCCTCATAACTCCACTTTGCACTACGTAACGCGAAGTGGAGAAAAACGCTATTTCAGGTGTTTCGAGTCGGACGAGAAATTCGTTTCAGAATGCTCAAGTTCGAAGGAGATAAGTGGTTGAAATGCGCAGGAAGGATTCAACTACATTGCTCTCAAAGAAGCTTCCTAGTCTGAAGTTCAAGTCTGCATAGGCTTTCCCGAACTATCGGGATTACACCGCCATATTGGCTAAGTCCTAGCATGATATTCCTTTAGAGCAAACACAAACTTCAGTTCAACCTGGCAGAATGAAATAGCAATTGCACGAAGACAGCAAGAGAACATCAACGTCGCTCTTCCCTAGTGTGACAAGATTTTTACATAGATGTGACTCATTATCCTCCCCCTTTTAGGCATACTGCAAGCGATTATCGGGGTCCTGGTGGTTGAACGTAATGCCGCATGTGGCTAGTGGAGCCGGACGGTACCTTACTGGCGAGTCGCGATGAAGCTGCAGGTCTCCGATGAAAAGTTAGATCTGAGAAACGGCTGCGAAGTATGTAGGCCGCTAAATAGACCCGATGGTCATTATCATCCTCCGAACACGTCTACATCAGCAGCATAAAACAATCGCAGTGAGCAGCTGAACTCTTTGGACAGGCGCTCGCCCGAGCAGGCTTTAGGATCATCTCGAAAATCGACATATTCAAATGTCGATGGCTCCATGGCGCCCTGATTTTGCATCCCTTTGGGCAGAAACGGTGGTTTCGTATTTGACTATCTGCCATAGTGCATCCATACTAGGATCGATGATTCCGAAGCTGGTTGGTCGAAAATGCCACTCACCGCTGCTTACGAACTATCCCTTTTTTGGCATTGGGAATCCCCGACTGGCGCACATGTCTTGCACGGACGAGAGCAGTTAAACTTAGTGTTCTCCATCAACCCCAAATTCGTCCTCTCATCACCTTCAGATCGTACCAGAAGGGGATGTGATCCATCTTATGTGCCTCTGGCCGCATAAAAGCCGGCCCGCTAGGTGTCACAGTATGTAGCTGCATGTATGAAGATGTATGTATGAAGTTCGTGCCTAACCAAGAGCTATTCCAATCTGAGCAAGTGCTCAAGTCTTGAGGTCTCGTCGGTATTCCGGAATAAGAACCACAGTCGGTGTAGATAGTACGATACATCGAGCTCCGGTCCAACCAAGACGGCCTATTTCGTCCACACCGCGTCGCGCCCGCGAGTAGTGGTGAGGTCTCCGGCGCGTCATTGAAGCAGATAAGGCCTAAAAGCTGCCGGCGCTCCTTGTTTCGATCTAGAATCTCGTCCAGTTCATATTCAACCGGTTTGTACTCAGTTTTGCGTATCGCGGGTAGAGCAGAAACGCGATGCGCCAAGTTTGGCCTGGCTCTCAGCCGACCCGCAAGAGCTTGCTTCATTCACAGCCAATCACTCAGACGAGGCGAACGCTTCAGCATGAAGTTGCAGCAGAATACACGTGCGTTGAAACTCTCCCTCGCGCTTCTTTCCTCGGGTTGAATCGACTAGAGCTGATTGATCATGAATTTTTTTTACTCGTATCATTCAGGCGTCAATTGCATTACATTGTTGTCGCCAACAACTTATTCATCATTTCTCCGGTTGGTTGTCTCGGCTGCAAACACCCTGAGCCCATAACAACCAAACCTGGTTACGGTGGCTCGCAGAAAATATCTACTTGTACCGGTTCTTGATGTTGAAAGGCTGTAGCCAAAAACGTCGGCCATGCCTATACTTCGTACTCTTCTCAAATTGACTCGTTCCAATATTTGCCTATAACAGAATCTTGGGATCCATTCATTAACCGTCCCCATGATACTAGGAGATACTAGGAAAATGTAGATCTCAAAACGGAGCCTCCACAAGGCTTTCATTAACTAAGCTGGTCGAGGATCTACACCTGTACGTCATCTCAAACCGGACAATTTCCTGTTGGCTGCTCTATGTATTCCTTCTGCCGTATACGCGGTGGTGGCCGAGCGTGTTTTGATCGATCATTGTCGTTGCTAACCTAGTGTATTCGCGTCTCTCACGACAGCAGTTCAAGCTAGCATTCGAATTAGTACCAACTCCGAAGAGCTTGGGTTTCCAGAGAATTCTTCCAAAGTGCAATTTTTTTTTTCCTCCTAGCATCTCTCCAACGCTCGATAGCGCACCTGGACCCTGGCTCCGGAAGACCCGCCGGCCAACAGGGGGAGCATGCCCCATTCGTGTCAAATCCGTTAGGAGGAGGAGAACTCGAAGATTTTAGAAGATGGACCCATTGTCTGTGCTCAAGATTCCACGGCTTAATCGTTCTTATTCTTGGCTATTTTTAACGTTATTTGACTAATATCGCCCTCACCGCAAGAATCCCGCGCGTGAACCTACCAACCAAGATAACTAGATACACCTTTTCGGACTGGCTCATAATCAGCAAGAATAGCGGACGGGCGAGAGGAACTCATCTGGCCGTCGCCGAACGGAGAACGTCAATGTTCTTCCAAGTAATTGTAGTGACGCCGAGAGGTCGTAGCAAAGTTGCCTCCGAGCATGGGTGAGGCAAGATCGGCCCCAGGCTCCCTGTCTTGCTCCAATCTGACACTTGATGCTGCCGCCGTCCCGTTCCGAGATCTGAGCATGGTACCGTAGAGGAAGGTGTAGAGAGTGACATAGAGGGGCCCTTCAATGCAACGATCAATGGCTGGCTGTACTGTATGTATGTAGTCGTAACTATCTCGTGATCTACTGACAAACTAGGTATGGTAAACGGCGCCGCATAGCTTCCTAGCAGTCCTAGGTACAACGCGGTTAGTGTTTGCTTGACATCGAGACGCAGCTGGCAGTCATGACATGACTATAAGCTGTAAGAGCCTCGGATGCACAAAGTGTCGGGCTGCAATCGTTATGTTTATGTACTGGCTTTCAGGCGTCTCACGGCTTCAGCACAAACAACACCAGAGAAATCAGTCATAATCGTGTGACACCAGTCGCACTGAACAGTTGAAGAAATAGTATCCGAGCTCCCAGGTCTCCAGTAGGAGCTCGGGGAAGCACGTCGCGCTTTTGTATGGCGCAGCCTCGTCTCTGCGTCTGGATTGTATCTGGACATTCGTCATCTCACAGCGCTCATCGCGTTGAACCGTATCTTTGTATCTTGGGCACGACCCATAGCTACTCCAAAAAACTGCTTTTGACTAATGTACGGCCCGGGAAAGTCTGCTTGGCCGTTCGAAAGCAGGAAGCAGGATACTAGTCTATTGTATCGACAGATCCGGTGGACTCGTAAGTGCAAGAATGCCTAGCAAAAAAAAAAGATCTCTTGTCACCCCACCACGAGCTACTGAGCAATGGGATGCCCAAAACGAATTCAGCGTCCTGTTAGTGGGCGCAAGAAGAGTGCTCGTGGGTGCTGAGTGCATGGGCTTAGGTAGCAATTGCACCTAAGGTCATCGATGCCCAACCCAGCAGGGCTAACGACTTCTAGCCTATGATATCCTTAGCTCACTCGTAAAGGGTTACCGGTTCAAGCATCTAGCGTTTCCGCTTCTGGAAGACGATTGGTTTTCGATCTACTCCGGAGCCGTAAGCATAGCAATCCATCTCGATTCTATTTGTCCGATCTACAACGTAGCCAGTCAGAGGATGACTACTAAATCTCCACCGGCGTATATCTACTCATCTATCATCATGTACGGGCAGATGTACGGGTTCTACAGTATCCGTTGCCCTACCGTAACTGAAAAGTCCCTAGCTGCAAGACCACTGGCACCTATTCCCAGTGGCTAGAGGCATCGTACAAGATCCCTGACTAACAAGAATGTATAGCTTCCCGTCCTAGGACAAATCCACCCAACCGTATAGCTGGGCTATCCTCTCATTGCTCCAAGATGCAAATCTGCTGTTTCACAGACTTTGGAGAGTCAAAAACGGCCGTCTCTCTCCAGTAAGAAAAAAGACGGTGGAGAGATGTTTTCCTTGGCTGAGGATAGGATCAACCAGTGGCCCGGAAAGCATCCATCTCGCTACCACACCCCCGTACCGTTACCTACAAGGGACCATACCCACGTCCTCCCACACACCCTCACCTCACTGCACGGCGAACCCAAGCAAAAGAGATGCCGTTCGTCAGTTGGTAAGTCTCATGGGCTTCCATCTTCCCCACTACAATGCTTAAGTGACTGACCCCCGTCCTCTTAGCACAAGCAAATCCTGACAGTCAAAGAAGGACCTGACCATTTCTTGTTTAAGTACCCAGGCCCTTCCTCCACCCCCCATCAATATCGCCCCCCCGATCATAAGGAAATAACTTATAAGAAAACATCTTGATTGTTGCTGAGGTTGTGAATCAGGCGATTCCTAACAGCATCTATTACAACCACTTTATCCCCCTCATCTTTACATTCGTTCTGTTTTACATAGTTTTTGTAAGACGGATTCAGGCCG